CTTCTGTTCCTCTGTGTCCTTAGCTTTCTGTTCCTCGGCTTCCTTAGCATTCTGAGCCTCCTGGGCTTCCGAACCTTCCTTGGCGGCCTCCCCCTGCTTGGCTCGTGCCCGGGATTCCTCAATCTCGCGAGCCTTCGCCTCCTCCATTTCCTTGACATACTTCTGGAACATCTCCTTTGCCAATGCATTCACCTCGTTATCTCTGGTCGCCTGGGTGGCCTCCGCAGCCGAACGCTTGACCTCAAGGGCTTGCATCTTGCGCTCCTCCTCCGCCTTTTCCGCTGCCCTCTTGGCCTGGAGGTCTGCCAACCTTCGCTCCAACTTTGCCTGCTGGAGTCGCAGGGCCCCCTCCTCATCCTGTCCAGCTTCCTTCAACTTCAGGGCTTCAGGCTGCTGAGGCTGCTGACCTTGCAATGTGGCCAGCTGCTTTGCCTGCTGCTCCTGCTGCTGCTGCTTCGCGAAGGCTTCCTTCGCTTCAAGGATGCTCTTGCCTCATCATCTGTGAGGGAGGGTCATTGACAAGGACCCCCGAATGCCAAATCCCAAAGGACCTTAATACATAAGGAGTCAGGATGATGGGTAGTACCGAACTTCAGTTGAGACTACTTTATTAAAGAAGTTGAAGTGTTATAGTAAACCCATAATCATCGATTATACATAATATTAAGTTTCATATGCTTGGACTTATAATTTTACGAAGACTATTTATTTAATACGGCATACGGATCAGAGCAGAGTCGTCGTAGACTTATTATTATTATTAGCTTCGTAAGTCGTAAGTTAAAGTAAACTTTATTAAACAGAGTGAGAGAATTGCTAGTTATTAGTTTTAGTTCCATTGGCTCGGTAAAGCTATCGGGTGGGAAGGTTTCTTGTTATTAGGCTTGGTAGTTAAAGTACTGACTGTTTATTACTATGCACATTCTACGTAAACATATTCAAAATTAAATATTTAGTATATTTGCAATTTAACAGTAACAACAACACAAGTAAGTAATCGGTAAACTTAAATAAATACGAGTCGCTTCTCATTCGATACATTCGTTGCAAGGCAGGAATGAGTTCGCGCCTGTGAACTCTGCAGTGAATATATTTGAAGTTGAGAATCAGACAAATAAACAATGCTACTAATACACACGACAACTGGGGTAACAACAGAAGTGAAACAGACCGTCAGACTGCCGGAGTTCAGACTACGAGCCAGAGAGTGCATGTAGTTTGCATTGCAATTCTCTCCGTCACTGCGACTGAAGGGCATGGCCTGGGCTGGAGGGCCTAGCCAGAATGGGAATATTTTAAATTATGTAGCAGTTGGTTAGTGGCCAATGAATTATTCAATTGTATTGAGTTAAACCCCAACCTAAAAGCCGTGAATAGCCCAACACACCGAGCCAACCGCTCGAGGAATCACAAGCCGAATCCACTCACTGGCTTGGCTCAATTGCTGCACATGACGAAGCTAACGCTTTGACGATGACATCTACTATGTGGACCATGTGCCTGACTACCATACCAGTTGCCTGCCAGTCTGCCTGCTGCCACCCTGCCTGAGGCAAGCCGATTGATTGGACTGACTGGGCGGATGAACTCATGAAAGAATGAATGAACGACTGACTGACTGAGTGAATGAATGAAAGACACGACTGACTTTGACCAGACTTAAATATTGAACCGCCTGAATCTTCATATCATGCTACCGAGCTACGGGTTGCAAACTTCGGCACGCAGCCACGGGCAACCTCCTGATTGTAGCCCTTCTTACACTTCTCGCACTCCGCTTTCTCGGCATCGTGGAGCAGGCAGTGGCACACCGGCACCAGGGCCTCCGGCTGCTGCTGGCCGTCTGGCTGTCCTGATCATTTGTGCGGGTGGCTCTACTTAGCCCTTCGGTTTTGTTTCTACTACTACTACTACTACTACTGCTGCGACTACTACTCCTCCTACTACTACTACTACTACGACGACAACTCGTAGTACTACTACCACCACTATACTACTACTACTACGACGACTACTACTACGATTACTGGTATTACTACTACCACCACTATACTACTACGACTACTACTACTACTACTACTGCTACTACTACTGTTACTACTGCTACTGCTACTACTACTACGACTAGGGGGACTGCTACTACTACTACGACGACGACTACGACTGCTACTATTACTAACTACTTCTACGTCTATTACTACTACTACTACTACTACTACTACGACTGGTACTACTACTAAAACCATTACTACTACCACCAAGGTCTTAAAGTTACAGATCAAAATGTTTCGCATGACTCAGTCAGTCGGCGAGTATTACTTACTGCTGTACTTTCAGTTGTATAGCAAGTTTCACAGTTCGCAGGACTTGACTAACCGAATGTTTACAGAGATATTAAATTTCGTCGCCAATGAATTAACTATTGAGGGTATGATCTGTGCCACGAAATCATCTATCCCAGACCACCGGATCACTCAATCATCCCAAAGACAACTGAGGCATAGTATATTATATGATAGCTGGGCCGGCGACTGACTGACAATTCGACGATGATGCGACAAATAAATAGAGATTAAAATGCCAAAGAGTGTGTCTTCAACTGTTGGCGTGCTTGTATTATCCCACGCATACAAAGCCAGCGATTCCTACTTCACTTACTTAAACTCTTATGTATGCCTTAGGGGCCTATTAATTATTATGCAACTGACGATATCGTATCGCATGGTTCTTTCTATACGAAAGTGGATTATTAGCCGACTACGACTCGAGCCTGCTACTCCGCAAACAGATCAGATCCCAGATTCCAACTGCAGAGCAAAACATGCCACGTCCCAGTATTAATTAACTTCACCTTGTCGGGCAAAGTCAGCTGGTAAGTGAATGTGCAGTCAACCAGTGATCACGCCTACGTTAGTTGTGACTGTCTGTACACTCGGTCGGAGTCCTGCTGCGACAACGGATTTCACGTTCATCGATGGTGTCGGGGTCTCACTCGTGGTCTTCTTCGGCGAGCTCTTCACGGGCGCCATAAACTGGATCTCTTCATCAACTCGGTCGAGCGAAAGGTTCATTGGCATGGCCAGGGGCGGCTGATCGCTGTCTTCGTCGGACTGGAAATAGGACATTGCCCATTTCTTGACGGTCTCGCGCTCGTCGGTGACGTACGGAATGCCGGCCTTGTTGTGCTTCAACTGCCACTCTCCAGTTGGAGCCCTCCCTAGGGGCTTGACAACGCCGCTGCACTCCAACATGGCGTTGCCGTCACCTGAGCTGGCATCAGGGCGAAGGGTGGGCGCGGGGGTGGGGCCGGGCAGGGGTGGCTTCGAAAGAACCTATTCCTTCAGAACTCTCAGTTTCAGTTTTGAGTTTGGAGTGCTCTCACGTCTCGGACAAAATGACTGCTGGAAGGTTTGCCCTGCCCTATGTGTTGCAATGTGAATGTCATAATATGAGCTCGCTACTACACTGAAGACTACTCTCTGACCTCCTGAACAAAATCACAGTCACTGAATTCTGAAACTTTGGAAACACAAAAGAATCATGCAACCTCTCTCTCTCCCATTGACACCGAAGGCACCGAAGTGGGAGCCGGCCCTTTCCTCCCTCACCCTCTCTCTCTCTCTCTCTCTCGCTCTCTCTCTCTCTCTCTCTCTCTCTCTCTCTCTCTCTCTCTTTCTTTTTCTCCTGTCTGAGAATTGGAAATACAGTAGGTAATAGTTACTACAGTTGCAATTTGCAGTTATGACGTGTACTGCAATACCATTGCTCAGAAAGTCAGACAGTCACACATCACAATCGAATTATTTTCTAGTTAGTTAATTATGACTGACTAGTGTTATTAGATCATTGATTATTCATAGTTAAATAACTAATGTAAACAATTACTCAGTTAATTCGTGGGCCCGGCCAATGTAACGCCCTTGCCATGGGCACGATGATTCGTCAACAATGATTCTCACTGCTGATTCATTCGGTCTGACCTGCAGCATAATAATCCCCACCAACGGTTTAAACTGAACGGATGGTTCACTGGCTGTATCACTAATAACCCGGGTGCTTAGGCCAGCTGTCTGTCGTCTAACTAACTAGTCAATCCGAATCCTGAATCGATCATCAGTTTATCTATCCATTCATCCGTCAATAATAAGGTCCGGAGTCCAGGCCAGGTGACTGACTAAGTCTGTCTGATCATGCTAAAGCAACAGCTTACACACTGTGCACATTGCAGGGTTGAGATTATCTATTGGACTGGATCTCTCTGTTACTGTTTGGGTTCTAGTCTAGTTACACCACTAGGAAAATAAGCAGTGCGCTTCTTAACTTAGTACTAATTGTAGCTGACCACTGACTCACAGTGACACACCACCAACTTCATACTAACTAAACGAGTTTCAAGCTGTTTGGATCTTGATTTAGACTAAAGTCGACTCATTATGCACTTCTACGAACTAAGAAACGATGTCACTGCCATTATTTTGTTGTTGAGACAGTATTACTAATTACTAGTAGCTTGAAGCGAAGTGTCACTTCTAGTCACACGAAACCGGAGACTAGAGGCGACATGCACAATTGAGACGAAGTGCTCATGCTCAGAACCTTGAAGACCGAATTCCTGGACAACTCCACCTCGACCTTCTTCACCAAGTCGATAGGCCCGCACGACTGCATCGGTCTCCCCAGGCGATCATATTCTTCCGTCAGATGGTTGGTCTGATCCAGCTTGTTGAACCTGGCTGAACTGTCAGTCGTCGATGGTTTATTGCACATCCTGTTACACACTGTTAGTTCTTGTCATTGTCAATTTTAGCTGGGAAACCGAATTGAATCTGACACTGTGTACAGTGACCAGTGACTCCACAGTCACTAGCACCCTGGACCCTAGCGCACAGAGAATCGTCGAATCGTCGGTCACTGGCCACTGTCTCAAATTTACTTCATCTCAAGAAAGAATAAATAGGCACTCCCAGTCCGAAGCCTTTGATTATCTGATCTGTTAGTTACTAACAACTGTAAATTAACACACTGTACAGCAACAGTAGTAGTCTTAGTAGCCGAGTTAAATGAATATGATCAAAGACCTAACCTGTAACCTCTGACGGTGAATCGATTAACATTAAACCTGCTTGTTAAATGGACTTGAAACCACCAGTTCAAACTGATTCACCCATTAGTATATCGAATCGAATGACCACTGGAGCCCGGTTCTACGACTGGCCACTTACTGTTTAATGGACCAACCTTTCTTTTCTTATCCTACTAGAATCTTAGAAGCCGAAGCTCATGGCTGGCTAAGGTCTGACTGTCCTGTCTGTCTGTCTGTCTGACTCGGCCACCCAGTCGACTAAACCCGGACAACGGAATGACTCAATGACTCGCTACATTTGTTACAGAACAAAGTCGGTCGGTCAGTCAGACAGTGAATCAGATGCCACAGACTGACTGTGAACTGACTAAGATTAACTAAGTTACTAGCCGTTACTAACCCAACTATATTATATTCTAGACTAGTTCCCTGGGCAGTGGCAGCACCAGTATGTCCAGCTACCCACTCAACCAAAACCTGACGAATTATCTGGCCGATGAGGACTAAGTGCTGACTGACCGGCACACTGAGTGTCAGACACTTCTGACTGACTGACCGTCACACTGTTGGACTGGTTGACCAAGTCGGTTTCACAGGACAAGCAAAATTAGTTCGCGAGTTAGAACTAACTGACCGAATCGATTGGTTGATGGAACAGATTACACGAAACTTCCATTCAGGCGACCCCACTAATTCAGTCCTCGCGAGTCAACTCATTAATTTTAGCTACGGCACGTGTCCAGTGCAGCGTTGGGACCCTTGCGGAACATGCCAAAGAAGATCGTCCTGACCGTCTTGCTCGAGAGAGTGTTCAAGTAGGAGATCGTACACTTCTTGCCCTCGCAGGCATGGATGAAGTCCTTGAGGTGGACATCCTCGGAGTCGTGTGCAAGTGTGAATGGTTGTGAGATTGAGACAATGTTATTGTGTCTGTGTCTGTGAGTGAGAGGCAGAGCGAAAGTCCAGCGGGACTGATGGAATGACCGACATTATTCAGACTAATGGGACATACAGACAGACCGGCAGAATGAGACAACTGACAATCCTATAGTGAGATATCTGGGAAATTGACAGTTTTCTCAACCTGATGTCACGATGTTACTAGTTACAAACTAGGAGTTGTTATAGCACAAATCCGCGAATGCATCATTCAATCATTCAATGCTGAACCTGACTTTAGGTCTGCCGTGCAACCATGTCTCGGGGACTTTCCTCCAGCATGTGTACGAAGATGACAGCATCACCACCTCACCTTTCTTAGAGCGCGGCCTGCCACCCGTAGTTTTGCTGGCATCTGACCTACCACCCTTACTTCTCACGGACTTGGGCCCCTTCTGAATCTCATCTGCCGGTTCGGCAGCCGTCCCATCGAAAGCCTGGATGCTTTCTCCACCCTCTCCCAAAGGCGACAGCAGAGCACAGGCCATCTCGCACCAAACTTCGGTCTTTCACCGGCTGACTATCTTGAAGCTTAGCAAGCTCAGTTAGCAACGGGAATCGGGAAGGTTGCTGCTGCTGCTGCTTCAACGAATCAAGGTGCACGTGCGCCACATCTCAACTGACCACACAGACACACCGTCCCTGCTGCAAGCTCACACTTAATCGCTGGGGTCGGTGCTTCGGTCTTGACTCAGCTCCGAGAGAATGGCCCAACGGCCAAGGGTATGGCCAAACTGTACTGGCATGCCGGTCTCTTAAGGCTGCTACGGGTTGAAGCGACGACTACAGACACTGGTTCCCGCACCGATTCGAGGCAGCTGAAACATCAAGTGCAGCGATGTCTCGGATTGATTTCGTTCTACTTAGTCAGTTGCTGGCACCCCGGTGCAGAACAGATTGAATCATTACCATCTCAGGAATCCATTGGACTAGCGTCGAGTGTCCTGTCACTGAGCTGAAGACCTGGTCTGGCCGTCCACTTCTCGCTGAATCTGCTTATTTGTTACATGATTGAATCGACTAGCAGTAATTATGTAGATCCTACTGCTTCTGAAACAGACTTCGGACTTGTCATGTGTTACGTTACTGGTTAAATGATTCTTTTCGTGTCACGGACGGCTTCCAACTAGTTATTTACTATTCGTTAGAACTAATTGCTGCGACGATGCTGAAAATATCCATACTGCTCGATCAAGCCTTTAGCCTTTTAAAGGGTGCTGTAGTACAGTACTGCTGGTAGTACTATTGGATATCAGATAACCCGTCAGCCGCCACGAATGGTCCTGAAGCGAAACACAGAAGCATTGGCAGGTCCAGAATCAGAGTTCTGTCGGAATCCAGGCAGATCGCCGGGTCGAACTAGCGTGCACCGCCAGTCACTGCTGTTTATTGTGCGACTAGTTTGAAGTATAATTTTATTAACTACTCACTCACTCGGTCAGTCTGTTACTGCTAACATTGTAACAACTCACCGTGGCACCTCGATGCTATTAGCTAGCTACAGGGTGCTACTGGCTACGGACCACCAACAATGCGTGTACAAACCGCAAACTGCGACTGAAGTAGTACTACTGCTACTACACTAATAAATGCCACTACTATTCTTGCTACTGCTGCTGCTGCTGCTTCTTCTAATTCTACTACTGACGACGACAATAAGTCGACTCAGTGAGTCTGAGTGACTCCTGGTCCTGGTCCCTGCTGCAGCTGACGGCTGTTTGCAATAAACCCAAGTGTTATTATGGCAGCAACTACGACGATGATGGGCTCCTGTAAGTAAATGTCTCCCAATTGTGTATTGATTCGAACTCTGACATGAAAACACACATCATATTGGCAATACCATGTGGGGCGCTGCATTATATGATGATCTGGGTCCTCTGGCCACTGCAATTGCGGTTTAGAAGACCTTGTATTGCTGACGGTCTCGTCTTGCCACAATAAGTCCTGCAGCTAGCTTCAAGCAGCAGTCAGTCAGAGGCAGCAGCAGCAGCAGCATCTTTCACTTTGTACTTCGTACGTTGTTTTAGTGGTTCGGTAATGGTTGCCCAGTAAGTGGTTGTAGTAGTACTCCTGTTCTACTAACTAGTAGATTGGGTCATCGTCATAGTAAGTAATCAGTAAGCAGTCGTAGCAGCAATCAAGTAAGTAGTTACTTGTAGAAGTAGCAGCAGGAACTAACTAACAGGCAGAAGCCGCAGTACCTGCCCTAGTTGAGGTAGTAGGGCCGAGTGAGGGTAGTCGTTACAGTTGAGTTTTGAATTATGAGTCCATTGAGGGTTAATCAGATAATCGAAAAGCATATGTTTCATACTGTAGTCAGTTAAAAATGAGTAGGGCAATAAAATAAGTTAACTAGCTAAGATTCGTAACATACACTGGCTGTGTGCAGCATACCCGATTCCCGACTTCACGCTCTGGCGCCTCCTACTTCTCTTGGACTGCTGAACTGTCCAAAGACACACTCTGAAGCTGTCAGTCGTTCGTCATGTCATTGCACTGAGTCGTAAGCACTCAACAACAATGAGTTGAAATATGCCGACTCACATCTTTGGGGCCAAAGCATGCAAGTGCGATCAACTGCATGATGCCACATGTGGTAAAGTGCATACTGTTCCCACAAATGTCTGCAGCACGCCGAACATCGGTTGCCCCCATTGTGGGAACCTTCATGGCCTCCGCGATTTCTGGGATGCAAGGGTAACCCATCGAACACAATCGCTCCTTCGCAGTAAGCCAGCGCTTCTGACTGGGCAACCAGTAAACGGCAGATCGGGCACCCAGACGGTAGGTCGGAATCTTACTCGTGCATGCTGACCAGGTGCAGTAAGTGTCAGAGTCACCTAGGTAGTAAACCAAGTTTGGGTTCTGCCACGGGAGCTGCTTGTAGCGATCCAGATACTTCGCATCCAAGGCCTGCCTGCACGAATTTTCCCTGTCGTTCAAGAGGTACTGCAGATCCGCTTGGCCCAACTGATAGCCCGTCCCCTTTCGACTGGCACGCTCATAAGCCTCCATCTGAATCTCAGTGCGTGATGCTACCAAGAAGTCGTGCACATTTGCGCTTATGTGCTTCTGAAAAGCAGTGCTAAGCATGCGCTGCAGGTCAAAAGGGTCGTAAAGGCATGTCCCACGGTCTCTATGGGATCCAATCACCCACGTGCGAGACCTTGCCAGGCCACTGAACCCAACATCGGCTGGCTCGGAAAACAGCTGGTAGAAGTCGTGGTCCGGGTGCGTGTCCTCCAGCATCCCCATGTCCAGAGCCTCGGATCGGCAGTGAGCTGATTTATTGAGCCATTCGAAATTCGTTGGTTACAATCCAATTCTGCCTGGAATGCTGCTGGCAGGTGAGTCGATACGGGTTTTTGGATTCATGTCCGTATGAAATGGTATATTACATAAGTTGTATTATTCAATACGTTACATACTATTACAACAAGATCTTTTTGTCAGGTATCGTCCAGGTCCATAGTACAGTAAGTAAATGTATTCCAAGTCTAAGTCAGAAGCTCAATCCCATTGTCAATCGTCAATGGGCCACCAAATCGTTAAACCAGGTGAGTACTGACTCTGTCACTGAATCACACAGTAAATCGATGCAGCTCCTTACTTATTGTTACTGCTAGTCTAGACTAACTTAGTTTCGATAAATAAGTCAGGGGTTCAAAGCTTTAATTAGATCTTACTGTAATGTGTATGGTAGAATGCAGAATGCTAGCCGAATTAGTTTCAGAGAATACGTTTTAAGATTGAACTTCTGCTACTGTATTTATTATATGATATCAATGAATGACATCAGAATTTAATTACCACTTATCAAACATTATGACTGACGAACTTAACTTGAACAGGCAACAGACAAGCAAAGACTGCAGGACTGTAAGTCACTGCCACTGACTGTAGAATTGAATCACTGACAGATAGACCGACAGTTAGACCATCTGATTATGACTGACTCTGATTCTGACCTGACCAACCTTAACTCACTACGACTGACTGTCATCTAAAACTCATTGACCCTTGACTTTGACTTGACCTGCTGACCTAATTATATCATTACTATCGGCATACACACTAATACACACGACACAACTTACAGCCACCAGCGAGACTGTCGCTGACTGCTGCTGTTACATTCCAAGATTAATGTGTCTAATATGTGATTTGCTTCAATCCTCAACCAGAATACTCAGCACCTAATCATCCCTTGCTGCTTCCAAGCTTCTGGCGTGCATTCCACAAGGAGCAAGGGTGTTTGGTTGTCAGTCACCCAACGTCCATGTGCTATGTAGACACCGTTCGTAGGTCCATCCCGCTTCAATCGCTTGCCGGCTTGACTCATATCCGGGCATGGCAGCCCACTGACATCAAACACGGGTCTCTTGCGGATGGAACAATTTGCCCCGTGCAGCTTGCATGCCATGGTATCTACCATGCGAGTGGCTCTTCCTGAAGCAAGCTTCTCCGCATACGTCATGCCATCTCGAAGCCAGGGGCTGGCCAGCAGCTCCGTGATGTCTCCGAAGAGACAAGGGTCACAAGGGTGACCAGTGACTTTGTGGCACCACCGCCCACACTCCGCAAGCAGTTGGTGGCAGTTCGAGTTGAACTCCTGGGCTGCATTTAAATCACTTTGGGCTTCTTAGATCAGTAGATTGGGACGATTCTTAGCGAAATGGATCCGACAACTCAACTTGCCTTGACTATGCGCTCACCACGAACTTGATGCCCGCCCGCCCGGACGGCTACTGACCACACAAGCAAGATCATACAAGAGGCTAGCGTTGCAATCCTGGTCGGTTCCTTTGTCAATTGTATTTAAATGTACTTTGCCACTTCATCCTGAATGACGTTCCCAGACTACTACTAATACAACCGGTGCTTAAGCCGCGAGACTTAATAAGAATTCCTCGCACAGACAGTCTGAAACCCAACCTCCGATTCCCAGCAATGGTAGTCTAAATAGTTCAAACCAAATGATGTTATGAAGCTGAAACAATGTAACAAGCAAAGAATCCCACATGGCAACCGTTGGCAGATGTACTTCGTAGTCAAGCTTGCCCGATATGTTGATGTCCCTTTCCAGAACTGCGCGGCTTAGCTCTGCCGTGCCAGACCCTGTGCAGAAGCTGCTGGCTGAGTTAGCATGGTGCAGCCACGAATCCTTGGTTCGGTCGCATTCTTTGGACGGTTCTGGGGAACCAGTGTGAGTCTTCAGCTAGTCTGGTTCACGGACGGCCCGGTTGTGCGCAAATTCACCATGCCTTGAAAGGATGCATGATTTGAATGATCTTGAGAGGTGATTAATTAAATTATGCCGACGACGAGGTAAACAGGTAGCCACTGCAAAATGACATCTGCGTCTTCAGGGGCTAATGTTACATTAGGGACTGATGTGACAGGCAGTGACTCAGATCAATACGAACAGGTGATCAAAATAAACAATCGGAATAATCGCAATTGGGATGGAGTATAAACAAATAATACTCAGAACTTGGAATCTGTAGTTAGTTAGTTTAAGTTAAAGTGCTACTACTGCTGGCTAAATCTCTCCAGCCGTTTCCATTCCATAGCTGCTTTGATTAACTAACTGTAGTTCAACCTGATTGCTGAATCAGTGCAGAAATGCGGTACTAATTTTCCACTGATTATTATTTATTAGACTATTATAGTTTTCCTGTCGAGCGGCGTCCAAGTTTTTCTGGGACAGCTCCTTTGCCACGATGTGCCACGCAGATGCAATTCCCTGGGCCGCCTTCTGCAATGCAGTCCAGGAGTGGTCCTGATTCCAAACATAAACTGCCGATCTTCTGCAATTGGCAATATCACTGAGTAACAAGCAATTAATCATAGCTACACTGAGACGAGATCTGGTTAGTTATGGTTGAATGACGACATGGCATGTATTGAAAGTCAGAGGTCAGGTCATCGTTGTTTGAATTGTCGGCGTCAGAATAATGCAATGGCACAAAACAACAACCATCAGACGTTGTGGCTATCGTCGTTCCGTTGACACTGTCAGACTGTGTCGTCATACTTCATGGCATGGGTTGACACGGAGAAACTGACAGTTGACGGATGTTTGGGTTCTGACTGGGCTGTGCCACGTCTGACTTACAAATTTCGGGACTTTATTGAGTGAACGGTCCTCGTCATCGAAATCGTCTGTTGTCAGGTACCACTGAAGTGACAATACTTATTCGGACCATCTGCCGAGCCCCACCCTGACTCACTGACCCTGGCCTGGGACCCTGACCCCTTGGTACTATAATAGTGCGTGGACTTCCTAACCTTGAAAGATTGTACTATAATGCCCATGAATGAATGATGTGTCATAGACTCGAAGCCTAAGGCCAAGGCTTAGGGGCCTAGTTAATTAATAAATTAGTTAATCAACTAGTTAATCAATTTTTATTTAATTAGAATCGAAGTTACCTAGGCTTAAACCTCAATACTGCCAAGTGCGCATGTTGTTACCTTGGTTTCTATGATCGCATTTTGCTTACCTGCCAATCAGTAATCTGACTCGACCCAGTTGCTTACCTGTTTAACTTAGTCGGCTACTTGCTAACAAGCGGCTGAGCCGAAGGCAGAGCTCTGGGTCAGTGGGACGGAGCTGTTGTCAGACGTGTCTGATTCACCGGTCTTGTCCGTCTCGGTCGTGAACGTCATTGCAACGTCCCGGTGTCCGGCGTCCGGTAGCCAGCGCTAACGTCAAGTGAGTAAGAGTATTAGAACCTAAATGAGTTGAATAAATCAATCAGTCTGCAAGTTAAAGAGCAAAGGGAAACTGAACTGCCCGACTATATTACTTCAGCAATGTCATCGCAGGCACTCCTGTTTTCATTGGGTGCTTGAGTGCTGCGCTGCTGCAACAGACGCGGTGGTGTGTAATTCCGAGGACAGTACAGGCACCCTGCTAATAATGATGTAAAACTATGGTCAGAGGTTAAACCAGTTATAGTATTTCTCTATATTCATTTCCTGTAAAGGCCGAATTACTATGGCTCCGAAACCACTTACAACAAATGACATCGCTGTAAGCTGCCCGCCCTCCACTCAGCTCTCAAAGTCTCACCTGAATTTGAGTACTTACAGGACAGGCCAACAACTGACCAGACAAGGCAAGTTTGGATTCTGTTAAGTTAATGTACTTATCGGTGACTCCGGTAGTCTCAGTCTCGTCATCATCAACAACTTGACTCCCGGAACGAACTGCGAATCGGGCATGTGGGAAACCCTCCTGCGCGTGACGATCTACTGTATTACTTAGCTGCTTAGCTGCTGTTTCAACATTTAGTTAAAACTACAATGAATCTGGTCTGATTCGCAACAACGCACCAAGATCAACAACTCACTTTCTGATGGAGGTTTGCAGTTATTGATTAAATCGGCTCAATGAATTCAATCCAGGTGCCAGCGGAGGGCCAAATGCCCCCATCTCGGCTCCCAAACCTGAGGCTTGCAAGTGAAGTCGGACCAGAACGATCAAGTCTAGCTTGGGTGTTTAAAAAAGCGAAACCCTAGTGTAAGACGGGCATCACAGTCAATGGCTTGCTTTAAATTAAATAGTCTTGCAGCCCAGGAATAAAATTACCGACAATACTCATTAAGACTATTAAGATTCTCATCAATCTCCCTCACCCTGTGTCCTATCTGAGCCTTGACTTGAATTTGAAGTCGCCCGAACCAATAATTCAATATACAAATCAGTAACCGTTAACCCAAACTGACCGGTAATTGTTTTCCAGCTGGGGGCTGTAGAATGAGTAAGCCTCGATCGGCACTTTCTGGATGCTGGAGCCGTCGAACATAACCTGGGCCACTGGGCGTCACTTCACATCGTGTTACGTTTTCTGGAACATTGAACTAATTAACATTAATTACCATTAATTAGTATTATTACACTTTAAAACTCTAGCCTGGTATTGGATTGGTATGGTACTACTTATACTTACGCACTGTGCTAACCCACTCGGACAATTATACTACATTGGCAAGCAATGTTTCAAAGCAATCAGTATCAGTGGTGAATCCGCCAATAACCGTAAGAACTACGCACTGGCTAATGAAATTGCAACGAAGACTGAAGAGCAGTATCACTCCTAAATTATTTCCGATTACTAAGATAATTTACTTATTTTGCTTTCTGTTCATTAAACCGACACCAAAACTTCAGGCTGATTGAACCTGCCACTGCCGCTCTCTAGCGGCGCACGACTCTCACTTCGACCCCTGATGCTAGTACTACTCTACTAGACTATTCCCTTGTCAACTTATCACCAATGCCTATGCAACTAACTACACTAAAATCACTAAAAGTTTCGAAAGATCGTGGGAGTCGGTCGGTGGCGTGATTTCACTGTCAAGTTAAGGTAAATCAGAACTCGTCAAGTTCGAGAAGTTATGCCGAGCCATGGTGCGAGGTTTCCAATTTATAATTTGTTGCTGTAAATTGTGCTACACAAGACAAACGCCTGAGATGAAGGTGTACTTCTTCCATGATTCAGATTCCGAGAGAGAGATCAGATTCAGATTAGAGAGAGAGAGAGAGAGAGAGAGAGAGAGAGAGAGAGAGAGAGAGAGAGAGAGAGAGAGAGAGAGAGAGAGAGAGAGACAGAGAGAGACACGACCACCACGACGGATTCAAGGCTAATGGACGTCTGATCCGATGAATCGAAGCTCACTGTCCGGAAACCTCTGACGAGGCTCGTTGCATGTTATTATTACTGTCACAGAGTAGCCGGATCAACGACAAGAGAACTTATTGAAGACCTTAATTGTGGACGAATGACAAGTATTTAATATATTATATTTGTTACAACATAACTAGGTGATATTTCAAACTTCATTCAGTGTCAGAGCGGATTTAACATTATTTGAACCCCCACCCTGATTCTTAAATTAAATGGGGCCCATTTCCTGGATTCCTGTTCGCCTATGAATCGGTGACGGTGACGATTCAGCTTCGTCAGGTTAAAATCGGTTGCTGGCCCAATACTACGGAATTTTTGTATCAGTTGTTTATCAGCTCATCCGAGACCCCCACATGCATCTGAGCGTGAGGGGCGAAAAGGCTCCTGGCTTTGGCGAGGTAGACCGCCTCGCGCTGGATATGGTATGATTCATGTGCCAAGCAGGAACCCGTGACCGTTTCCGATTCATAGTTAGCTCTTCTTCAACGATTCAAGGGCTGTCCTGGGTCCTAGATAATGTCAATTGTCAATAGTTAGGTGTCATTCTCAAACGTACGAGCGCTGGCAACAGTAACAGTCCGGAGAATGTGGGGTCCCTACTGAATGCCCAATCTCAACACTGTCGACACTAACTGGGGTGAGTCAGGTCGCAGCGACAATTGATTCTTGATATCATTGATAATGATAACACTCACACTCCTTAACTCGATAAATGGCAGTCTGATCTGACTAAGGGCAACGTCGTTATCTCTCTGATGTGCTTTTGAATACTCATTCTGATTCTGTCTGAGCTGTGCGTCCAAGACTCCATATCCCAGGCAGCCAAAGGGGCGATGTCATGCTTGGGCCTGCCCTTGTCGAGCAAGGCTTGTCGCAGAGTGTAGAACCTGCCGCACAACATTCATGCCGAAACATTGGCGGTTGAACAAACAAGACTTCCAAGATAATGACTCGACAAACGCTTTGAACCGATCGACCTGGACTTGCGAACAACAACAGACTGGCAGTGCTCGAAGCTGTCACACTACTTACATAGTTCAGGCGATCCGACTCAACCTCAGACTCAGACCTCGGCCTCGACACGAGCTCGTTAATGTTAAATCGCGTGTGGAGCACTACAAACAGGTCTGGTCTGCACCGAGCGGCTTGCCATCCCTTACCAGGTTAATGATGTCCATCTTCTCACTTGGCCGGAGAGGCTTCATCTTCTTGACGGCCAGTGCGCGATCCAACCTCGCCGACTCCGCGGCGATTGCTGCAACATTCTCATCCTCGGGCAGGTTTGCTATTTATTAGTTGTTGAACCAGATCTACAATATTTGTAGGAGTAGGATTGAATTGAATGCCCACTGACCTGAATAACTAATGGCGACTGACTTACAGACACCTGGACCAATGTCAAAAACACAGCCAGACACGACACTGACCCTGACTGACTCAGACTGACCTGGCCCCTCATGTAAAGACATCTACTCGACCCTAGGCCATGCTAATGCAAATCCTGGCGCCTGCTGGATCACATCAGTCCATTCATTAGTTTGCTCACGTCCCTGACTTGTTGCAAACTGTCGCAAGCCCCTGAGCCTTGAAACCTTTGACCTTTCACTGGCTCGTCATATGGACATTGATCTATAAGTCTATAATACGATACTATTACTTAATTGCCTTATTACTATTATTACTATGGGTCCACTGAAACATTGAATGTAATTTATCTCGCGCACCCTGTGATCAAATTTATGGGGCTAAGCGACCAAGAATGCTGCCACCTGCGTCAGCACCCGTAGTGCATGCGCAGCCATGTTCTTGACCCGGTTGTCCGTGAGGTCGTGCTTCCTGATTCACTGATGACTCAGGTTCGTATAGTAACTAGACTAGTGTCTTGCAAAATTAACCGGCCAATTCAATTATAGTTAAATCCGCTCACCGCTGTAGTATTCGGCTAAGCATGTTACGTTCTTTTTTTATCTACTGGGCTACGACTGACTGACTGTGACGATGCGACGACTTTACTAAACTCATTAATGAATGCCTAAGGCTAGCTTCAGGCCGACAGTCAGTCCTCGTTTCATCAACTGCCGATTGATATGATTAAATTATAGTGTCGTGATATATATATTACCCAATAATTCAATTGAGTATTTCTTGAATAAATATTCATATTAATAAGTCATGTCACTCTCACTCTTGAGGCGTGAAATATGAATTATGTCACTCTCCGGCTCTCAGTCTCAGATCTCAATCTCAGTCAGTCTCCACTCTCTTAATTTATGTAAAATTACAATCGGCCTGACTATTATTTATTACCAATCACCCATCAATCGGATCCCCTGCCATCCGGCCCAGCCCGACCTACAGACTGACTCAATTCAATGATTATAAATAATAATTGGCTCTGATTTAATTCATTTGAAACCACCTGATTCACTGATGATCCGTAATCCGGACCCCCCTAAAAAATCCGGACTCAAACGGATTCATTATCGAATGGAATCGAGTAATACTGTAATGAGGAAAATAGTGAGTTATGTTTGTAATAACATACTTACCGTCGGACCGTGAGTCTAATGAAATCATTTCCACGGCAAATCGGAACCTGAATGCCCCTGGTCGCTCCGACACCTGCAAACCTGAGAGCCTCGGTGTCTGTGTGGAGTCCGGAAATTTCCGATTCACAAGTTTTGACTGTTACACATTAAGACCTCAGCCCATTTACACACCGAAACATCGTACCTTGACAATACAGACCGGCTGATTGACACACGGTGACACAGGCTGAGCGCCCAACTCACTACTGGCTCACCAACTTAACTCACTGTATTCCAGGCAGGAATCGGGTCCAGTGCAAAGGTGATGAGACTGGCCAGGGAGCATGTAGAGCAAGGGCTCTGTACCCAGGGCTTGGCGGCGTCCTGAATGGGCTTGAGCTTCATGCTTGTTACAAGTCGTGCTATGCGAGGGTTGTGCATCTGTCAGTCAATGAAACGCACAAGATTCGATAGGAGCGGAAATGTTCCAGATTCCTAGATGGGACCCGTGCCTCTATCATGTCCCGTTTGAGGCACCCCTGTGACTGTGTCGGGATCGCTGTAATTATGGTCGGAATCAGGAGTGGAAGGTCTCAGGCAGGTACCAGGTATTATAGGACCCAGAAGAATTTCATCTGTGCCAGCAATGCAGTACCGGACAGTCCAGCAGCCAGGCACGCACGACAAAGAAGTTTCAGAAATGCACTTAGCCGTGACCCTGGCCCAGCCTGGAGCCCCCGGACCCTGGACCCTAAGTCGAATCACAGAAAAGATTAAGATAGTCATAGTCGTTCTGTAAGTTTCCCAAACTTTATAGAACCGAATCTCCAGCAGTTCGACGCTCCATAGCTCTTCGAAGTAACCAGTAGCACCGAATGGTGCCAGCCACTGCATGGGCAGCCGCGTGTCCCGGGTCAGGGGAACGGACATCAGTGGCATGCCTTGGGCTTGGCTTCAGGCTTGGATTTCGTTTCGCATCAGGCTTGGATTGGATGTCGTTTCGAATCAAACAAATAATGTTGATCCCTTCAGTGCAGATTGGCCGACATGCGCTAAAAACTCAACGAGTCAACGACTGAGGCCTCGTCCTGCCCGATATTCCGGCTTCAACTCTAGCTTCATGCCGTGCCGTGCACAAGCACACAGTAAAGAATCCAAGAGTTTGCATGCAATGCCCCGTGGACCGTTCTTGCAATGCGTCCCCTTAAGGGTCCATGCCAAAATGGCCACAAGCATTGTCGTAGGAACGGTCTTGTCATACAAAGCAGCCAGCGGATCCTCGAGCGAAACCCCATGGGCTGCAGAACGCCCACAACTGTCAAACCGTCAGTGTGTTAGAGTGGAGCTACTGTAAACAATTGCCATCATCAACCAAGCATCTTCAGGGGCCCTGTAGGCGTTGAGGATTGCTGGGCGCAGGGGCACAGCTGACCCAGGCCACAACTGCATATGTACGTCTTTGCAAGTACCGAGTACCTTTTGTAGACGCTTTCGTCCCGCTCGCATGTTTTCTTTAGTCGGCTCTACATCCGCCAGGCGCGCCATGAGCCGCCCCGCATGCCATTCCGCCTGTATCCCGGGCCTTGCCGGGATGCAAACGTCCAGACCAAGGAGCGTTCGCTGTTCACGGAAGTCAGCCGTCATGAGTCACATGACTGACTGCCGCTAGGAGCCGAGATGAACGACGTCGGCGGCGTCATGACCCGAAGTTGCACGCGAAAGTGCAAAAAAGAAGCGAATCTGATCCCAACGGCAAGCCCTCATAATCTTTCGAGCGATTTAGAGTGTTATAGAGTGATTTAAAGTGTTTTAGAGTGTTATAGAGCGTTATAGAGTATTATAAAGTATTATAAAGCGTTATAGAGTGATATAGAGAGATTTAGAGACATACTCGAACTCATAAGCGAGACCCATTGAGAATGGGGGTCCCCCGGATGGGGGCCCCCCAAAGGGCTCATGATTAGTAGCAAGGGTTATGATTAAGGTAGCTATACTTATAACTAGTTATAACCCCACTTAAGGTACTTATAACTGTACTTACTAAGTCCCCTCTCGGGTTTCCTCTGCAGCAGCTGGCTCTTCAGCAGCCGGGGCAGCTGGCGCCTCGGTAGCTGGCTCTGCAGGAGCCGGCTCCTGGAATTGGTACGTGAGTGCTTTCAGGGTTTACCTGTGGATCCGAAAACCTACCGCTTTAATAAAAAGACATGCCATAACACATGGCGTGGTCCTTAACATGACTTAGGGGACATATTATTGTGGCAAACCCTCATATAAACCCTACAGCAGACGACCTTGAGGCTACGACCTTGGGTTAGGTTTTAGGGCTTAGGGAAGACTCCAAACCTGCAGGTGCTTAAGGCTTAAGCTCCTCCAATCTGTCAAACCTGAACATCCATTCCTTCGCCCTCAGTTTCGCAATGCTTGGACATCAAAAACGAAGGCACTTAATCGTCGTCTTCCTCTCGGAGTCCCCTAGACCCTAAACCCCTAAACCCTAAACCCCTAAACCTTAAACCCTAAACCGTGCGGCTTCTCGCCCTGCTTGGTCCCCTCAGGCTCCATGTACCGTTATAGTGTATGCTTAAGCCTTAGAGTACCTATATAGGGACCCCGAATAAGACCAAATTCTTTACTATAAAGGTACATGGAGCCTCCGGGGTCGTCGCGCTTGAGCCACCCCTTCTGCGCGTATGCAGCTTGCACCGCTGCTTTGAACTTGAACCGCTTTCCGTGCATCCTCTGGTCGCCGTGGCCCTCATGGTACGGTCGCTGGCGCATGGGGCCCCCCCAACATGCAGATCAGAAACAAGCTCTGAAATTCTGGGTGGGATTGGGGATTAAGGCAGTGGCTCAAACTATTGCAGTGGCTGGGTGGCACTGCTATCATGTGGGGATTTCTCTACATCAGGATGCCCTATTGATAGTCCAAGAGAAAACCTCAGTTTGCAGCAAGGAACCTAACCCTGACTTACCCCCAAACCCTAAACCCTAGTCCCCTAAACCCCGTAACCTAGAGACTCCAATATCGCTTGATTAAGGAATATACCTTAAATCTTAATAGGGACCCTACTATTATTTAAGGAATATTCCTTAATTAAGGGATAATGGAGTCTCGGGGAACCCTTAATTGCGCCACCCACAGAGGAAGTGCTAATATTCTTCGTCCGAGTGATCGTCCGAAGTGTCTCTCCGACATCCTGCATAAACCCCCTACTTGGAGGTTCATGGGACTTAGTAAGTAAGGTTATAAGTACCTTAATTGGGGTTATAAGTTATAAGTGATTCTAAGTATAGTTACCTTATTTATAACCCCAATTACTAAGTCCCATGATCCCATAAACCCGCCCCAGAGATCCCCTTAATAAGGCATATACCTTAAACCGTAATATAAGGGCCCCTATAGTTTTCAGGTATATTCCTGAATTAACGGATATTGGGACCCCCTAACCCCTTAAACCCTAAACCCTAGCCCCCTAAACCTTAAATCCCTAAAGGCGACCCCTCGTCTTGCATGGGTGCTGATCCCATACTCGAAGACTTGAGGCCGGAAACTTCCTAATGTAGGAACCTGATTAAGAATTAGGGTTTAGGGTTTATAGGGCTTAGGGTTTAGGCTTTTGGGTTACTTACTCCCCTAATAAGCCGCAGAAATAAAAGGTTAAACTTTCCGATTCCTACTAAACTATAAGAACCCGAAAAGTTTAAAGGTTGGGTATTGGGGATCTCAGATTGGTCCTCATATGAATCCTACTGTTTTGGTGTTATGGGCCCAGAGTTTCTTAATCAGGTTCTTACATTAGGATTCAGTGTAATTTAAGGTCTGAGAACGGTCGACTGTGTCAGGATTCAAAGTTTTGGGTTTTCAGGATCAGAGCCACAGTTCAGGGTGTAGGGCGCAGGGTAGGGGCCTACATCTGAGTTGACTACTCTGATGCTTCGAGTGAGTTCGAGTTCCAGTATCACCAGTAGCACTAGTACCAGTACTAACTACAATTACTAGTACCAGACTTCATAGTAGTACTAGTGCTCGTACTGGCGCTGGTACTAGAACTAGTTCATTACTACGAAAGGTACCAGCGGTAAGACTACGAGCATCAGTGCTAAACCAGTCGAGTAACACTAGTACGAGTACATGTAGTAGGACGATTAGGGCCAAGTTCGAGACCGCGGGCTGCAGCTTCGAGTTCAGGTGGGGTTCCGAATGCTGTAACCCCAACGATTCATATCCTGAAGCCCTGACATGCCCCATGGGTCCATGTACACCTGTAGGACCCTCCCCGGGGTTGTCGTCTAGGCCTTATACTCAAAAACCTGAAAACTCGTGCAACCCTATTGTAGAAACGCAAAAAATCAACCCTTAAACCAAACCCTTACGCCATAAACCCTATTTGTCAGGACGTGCCCCTTAAGGGCGGCGTCCTCGGGCGCTGCTTCTGCCACCGGCTCGCTGTAAGGCACCTGCTGCGCCGTCATGTTCGTAGGGCTCGGGTCTAGGACTTTCGGCTTTAGGATTTAGGAAGAGTTTTATCATGTCGCTTGTGGTTGTGGTGGTCAAGAATCAGCGGTGTCGAAAGTGTTGCCATAAGATAAGTGGTGTGTTATAGCGGGCTTCGGGATTTTTTATGGAGTGACTATCAGGGATCACTCATCTGCCTCTCCAGAATACGGACCCTGCTGCTTAAGTGTATGTTAGAGGCTCCAACTTTCTCTGAATTCGCACATCGCGCCTTTTTCTATGTGTACAAAACCGTCTTCCAGCCCTTCTTGAACCCTTTTTTTAATTTTAAGAACCCTTACCGAGAACCCCATATTGGTCCAATCCTGAAATAGGCCCTAAACCTTAAACCCTGAACCGGGAACCTCAAAACCCTCAGGCATGCAGTCTTGAAGCCCAAGCTACTGGAACGCGGAAGAAGCTCCGGGAGACTCCAATGTCCCTAAATCACGGAAAATGCCCTAAAATTATGGTAGGATCCCTAGAATGCTTGAAAGAATATTCCTGAATTAGGGGATATCGGAGTGTCTGGATGCCAAATCCCACCAAAAACCATTGAAAACTAACCTAAGCCCGACGCAAGTCATGCGCAACAACTACAAGGTTCCTGAATAGCCTTCTTGATAGAGTGACCCTTAGTCCTACTATTCGGTTTTTAGTAATGGGACCCTAAAATAAACAGGGCAAGAGGGTACTTCTCAGGAACCAAGAATACAGTAGTATAGCCCTTACCAGAGCCCTAAACCCGAAACATCCTTGGTGGCCGTCCTCCGGAGCAGGCTCCTCGACCGGAGATGTCACAGGAGCAACCTCCGCTAGATTCTTCGTCATTAGCGCTCTCAAAAGTCGTTTTCACTTGTAAACCTGAGCATTTAAGGTTCAGGGCATTTGCAGGATGTGAGTAAACTAAACCTTGTTCAATCATTAGGGCAGGAATTTGATTTCGCGACAAGGTAGGTTGAGGTTTTGGAGTTGTGCTTTGGGTGCTCGTGTCCTTCAGGGGGTTCACCTGGAGTTCGTTGAATCTAAGGCTCCCCGATTCAACTCTACTAATCCGCAGGTCCGATATTCCCCCAAACCCTACTGTAGCCGCAGGTTGAAAAAGAAGCCCTAGATCCAAAACCGCACCCTAAACCTCATATTGAATCGCACCCATACCCCCTCAAGGGGTGCAAAAACTCGCAGCTATAGCTCCAACCCAAACCCCAATACCATCAAATTCCCGAATGCCGCGATATTAAAAATCCTACGAACCGTAGTGCAAACATGCAGGACTTTGTTCAAAGACCTACGGAACCCAAATAGACACGGCATAAAACCCGTACAGAGACCCTATACATACTCTAGATCATCCTAAACCACAAAACCAAAACCCCTGCAGTAAACCCCATAAAGTTGGAAACTGGATCAAGGCCAAATAGTGCTGGGATTCCTTCTAGATTACTCTTCCGGATTGAGGCTATTGGGTTTCCAACTTTTCTGCTTCTACTGTGAAAAGCATGTAAACTGCCTCTTGAGTCAGCTCTGCTCCGGGTTCGACCATGGGTTGGGAAGAAGCCTGCGAAAACGAGGCCGCCACTACTTGGAGGTTCATGGGACTAAGTAAGTACAGTTGTAAGTACCCTAATTGGGGTTACACGTAGTTTTAAGCATGGCCCACATATACATATATATCCACACATATGTATAGAAAAAGCCCGCTAGTTACTAAGTCCCAGGGTAGGTAGGGCTATGCAGGTTCCTTTAAGGGTTTATCTTAATGCCATGGACATTTCAGGGTTAAAGGGTTTATGTATTTGGGGTGTTGCCGCTTTTGTGCTTGAGGGCTTACAGTCCAGAGCTTCTGCTGCAAAGGACCTCTAAGCCAGCTAGCCAGTAGGTGCTGCAAGGGCTTACCTGTGGCCCCAAACCCTACCAAAATAAGTAGGTTATGACCCCTTAATTAGAGGGTCGAACCCTTAAAACGGTAGGTTTTCGGATTCAAAGGTCATCTTTCTTAAACCCTAAACCCTAAACCCAAAACCCTAAACCCTGGGGCAGTTAGAGCAAATGGCGTCGGGGCTGCGGTTTGGAACCCTGAACCCCTGAACCTTTGGGTTTCGGGTTTAGGCTCTTGGGTTTAGGGTTTAGGCTCTAGGGTTTAGGCTCTAAGGTTTGGGGTTTAGGGTTTAGGCTCTAGGGTTTAGGCTCTAAGGTTTGGGGTTTAGGGTTTAGGCTCTAGGGTTTAGGCTCTAGGGTTTCGGGTTTAGGCTCTAGGGTTTAGGGTTTAGGCTCTAGGGTTTCGGGTTTAGGCTCTAGGGTTTCGGGTTTAGGCTCTAGGGTTTCGGGTTTAGGCTCTAGGGTTTCGGGTTTAGGATCCAGTAGGATCTATAGGGTTTAGGGTTTAGGCTCTAGGGTTTAGGGTTTAGGATCCAGTAGGATCTATAGGGTTTAGGGTTTAGGCTCTAGGGTTTAGGGTTTAGGCTCTAGGTTTCGGGTTTAGGCTCTAGGGTTTTGGGCTTAGGATCCAGTAGGATCTATAGGGTTTAGGCTTTAGGCTCTAGGGTTTCGGGTTTAGGATCCAGTAGGATCTATAGGGTTTAGGGTTTAGGCTCTAGGGTTTAGGGTTTAGGATCCAGTAGGATCTATAGGGTTTAGGGTTTAGGCTCTAGGGTTTAGGGTTTAGGCTCTAGGGTTTAGGGTTTAGGCTCTAGGGTTTCGGGTTTAGGATCCAGTAGGATCTATAGGGTTTAGGGTTTAGGCTCTAGGGTTTCGGGTTTAGGATCCAGTAGGATCTATAGGGTTTAGGGTTTAGGCTCTAGGGTTTAGGGTTTAGGCTCTAGGGTTTAGGGTTTAGGCTCTAGGGTTTCGGGTTTAGGATCCAATAGGATCTATAGGGTTTAGGGTTTAGGCTTTAGGTTTCGGGTTTAGGATCCAGTAGGATCTATAGGGTTTCGGGTTTAGGCTCTAGGGTTTAGGGTTTAGGCTCTAGGGTTTCGAGTTTAGGATCCAGTAGGATCTATAGGGTTTAGGGTTTAGGCTCTAGGGTTTCGGGTTTAGGATCCAGTAGGATCTATAGGGTTTAGGCTCTAGGGTTTAGGGTTCAGGGTTTAGGTTCATGGTTCAGGGTGGCATCTCGGGGTTTGCATGGTTTACAAGGATGCCAGGCGGGTATTCTCATAGGTTGCTGACACTTACCCCGGGGACCAACCCCGGCTCTCCTCAATAAATGAGCGATAAATGATCGTTAAAATGGCACTAAAAATGTATTATGTGAGCATTATGGGAGCAATAAGTGAGCAATAAACGAACACTAGTGAGAGACGATGTCTGCCCTCCCCCCCTGCCCTGCCTGCCCTGCCCCCCTGCCACCCTCTGCACTTCCCTGCTTTTGCTGCCCTGCCCTGCCTGCGCTGCACCACCCCCCACCCCACCCCACATCCCACCACCCCCCGCCCCACCCCCCACCCCACCCCGCACCCCACACCCCACCCCAGCCCACCCCAAACCAGCTCTAGTTGCGTTTGCAAGAACCAACCCCGCATCAGAGCATTAAATGAGCATTAAATGAGCGTTAAATGAGCGTTAAATGAGCATTAAATGAGCGTTAAATGAGCATTACATGAGGAGGTGGTGATAAGCGGGGTTACTCGCTCTACCACCCCCCGCCCCGCCCACCCCACCCGCCCCGCCCGCCCCGCCCTGCCCCGCGCCGCGCCCCACCCCGCCCCACAACTCACAGTGGGCAGCTGCACCAAGGTAGATGGTGGGCCGCCATATAAAGCTCATTTAATAGGCATTTATCCTAGATTGCGGGGTAGGGTCTAGGGGTAGGTGTGGGCAGCCCATGATATTCAGAGCGGATACTTAAGAAACTTATGAGGCTGTTTCGGATTCAGTGAAGTTTAAGCCCCGAATCTCGGAGTCCTAAACCTTCAGAGCGTTAGCTTTGAAAGGGGGGGAGATACCACAACAGGGTTTAGGGTTTGGGGTTTAGGGCCTAGGGGTTAGGGATTACCTACTCTACTGCTGACTGAGGCCTAAGTTCTTTAGCTTGGGAAGGAAACTCATGGTTTCTACGTCGCTTATCCCCGAAACCACAAGTCTTCCAGAGTCATTCCTACACGTGACAAAGGCCACGTGGATAGTGATACCTTTGCTAAAAAGGTCATGGGACTTATCGTAATTAGTAACGAGAGGTTGTAATTAGGGCAACTGTACGGATATTACGTGTACCCCCTGATAAGGTACTTGTTGCTGAAATTACTTACGAGCTTCCTTGAAGTGGTAGCCATAGCTACTATAAGACAAGCAGTCAGCATAGACTGGAACCATGAACCCACAGCGGCTTACAAACACATTCTACAAGACCTAAGAGTAACCTAGGAAAAACAGGTCAAACGGGGCTATAAGGATCCCTAAACTCTGAAATTGGAATAAGGGCCTACTCTGGGTCCTAGAAGAAACCCCAAAACTCTAAACCCCTAACCCCTAAAGCCCTAACCCCTAAACCCTTATAGATCCTCGGCCTGGGGTGTCAGCGCAACAACCTGCGACCTCAGGCAAAGCTCTGGGATCCATCAAGCTGCCAAAGGGTCCAAAGTACCTATATGGTAGAACCTAGGGTTTCTATATTAGGAACTACTATTATGATTTGGGGAAGTATCCCCCATAACAGTACCTAGGACCCTTTGGGGCTGCTACTTGAAGGATCACAGGACTTCGTAACTGGTGTGAAAGTAAGGAAACTACACTCATAATGACTTGTAACCCCAAGTACGGCGCTTATGACCTGCAAGAAACATAATATTTCAAGCAAGGGAAGGGCTGCTGAAAGGCTTCTTCGAGGATTTTGGAGCCTTTCAGGGTGCTCGTGTAGGCTCCATAAAGGCTTCCTGGAAGAGTTTACGGATTGGGGCTTAAGGTTGGCCTTGGGTAACCAAGGCACGCTTAAAAGGCAAATGCGCCCATTTTGCCGGGGTCAGCTCCTTTTTGTCAGCTACATGGGCTACTCTGGAAAAAAGCTTTCTTCTAAGATGTTCCAAGGTTCTGTTTATATGGTGAAAGGAGCCGTTTTCCGTGGGTTTACTGCGCACAAAGGCTGGCTAAGAAGCTAGACATCCATTGATGTTCGGGGTTTAGCATCAGGCATCTTGACGCGTAGACATGGTTCGCCCCGAATCGGGGTCTTCTTAGTCCCCCATACTGATAAGGGCGTTCATGCTTCAGTGGCAAGTAATGTAAGAGCCTTAGAATACTGTCAGTTAGTTTGGAGCCTAGGGTAACCCTCTCAACCTTCCGGAACATTTAGACCCATTGAGCTTCACAATTCCAAAGCCTTCTGAACCCTAAATCCGAAACACCAGAACCCTCACGCCACTAGACTCCGAGCCCCTGAATCCTAAAGATCCCTTATCGGAATCCCTAAAGGAACCCTTAGGTATGTTCCTTAAGATAAGTATACCCGTTAAGTATAATCTTTAATTACTTCCCCGATAGAACCCTTATATAGAGCCCCCAAAAGCTTCGGCGAACTTGGAACCCGACTTTAGCTCGGCGTTCTCGGCTTGCAAGCGCTGGATGATCTCCTGGCCGACTGAGGGGCTTCAGCTAAACGGGGTTTAGGAGTTTGGGGTTTAGGCTCTGAGTTCTACCTGGGGATCCAAAACCTACTGTTTTTTGCGGGCTCAACCCTATGATTCAGGGCTTATAGCCTACTCCAGTACTTCGGAGGGTTTGGGGATACAGGTAGGGCTTACGGACCGAGGGCTTCAGTGCCCCGAAACCCCAACCGTACACCCTAAACCCTAACCCTTAGGCTCTTGGGCCCAAAGGCCATACTATAAAAGGCTTTTGGGCTATTTTGAGCCTCGGGGTAAACCTTACACCGTCTGGGCTTTGGGGTGTGAGTTTGCAGATTGTGCAGGGAAGCGTTCCGGGTTCCTGGCGCAAGAGTCAGGATGGGTTGAGGGTGTATCTCAAAGGGGAAAAGGAGGGACCCTTAATGGGGACCCTTACCCTATAATGGGCTGTATAATGGGTATATAATAGCTATATTAAGGGTATATACCGAGGGGTCCTTATATAATAGCTATATAAACCCTCAACCCTAAACCCCTAAACCCTAAACCCTAAGGGTCCTTATTAAGTGTATCAGTTTGGGGAGGGAAGGTTGCTGCTTGGAGGGTCGGGGGACTTCGTAACTATAAGGGGTTTCTTAAGGGCCCCTTTAAAGGGATCTATAGGGATTCTATAAGGGTTTAGGGTTCAGGGGACTTAGTAACTGGTTATTTTGGGGACTTATAAGTACCTTAACCCCAATTAGGGTCCCTTTTAGGGTACTTATAAGTCTACTTACTACCTACTTACTAAGTCCCCCGACCCTCCAAGTGGTGTGTGGCAGCATTTGTGCTTGCCCAGATCTTCCAAAAACCTCAGTTGAGGAATTAACCTTGAAATCATATTAGGGCTCTTACTGTAATGTAAATATTCCATTCCTTCATTAAGGGATATATTACCCTAAGGCTCAATATAGCTCCAAAGCCTTATATAGTATGGTCTTTGGTCCCAAAAGCCTGAAAACATGGGTCCTTAGAGCCTACGGGTTACATATTGGAAGATCTCGGGACTGGAGGGAGGGTAGGAACCCTAAACCCTAAACCCTAAACCCTAAACCCTCCATATTAAAAAAGGACCATTTGGACATTTAGGCTCAGGGTATGAAGGGTTTAGGGTGTAGTGTGGGGCTTAGAGTTTGGGGGCCATGGTGTAATGTAGACCACGGACGATGGAGCAAGTACTGCCCCCATACAGTAACAGTCCGTAACACAGATACTATCAACGGCCTTGTATTTTTCTCTTGCTCAAAAGCACTAAAACGCTAGGCCTGAAACCCTAAACTGGTACTGAGTCGGGGCAGTATCCAAAGTAAGCATCCGTTCTTGAATGAATACCCAGATCTTGCAAAAACCCTTGAATTACAAGTAAGGAATATACCTTAAGTGTAGTAGCTTCCCAAAAATGAATTTCAGATATGCTACGTATACTGAACTTAGAACCCTAGCAAAAAATATAATTTTAGCTGTTTCTTAGGGATTATACTAACCAAAAATTAAAAAAATATTTCTAAGTACCACTGAGTATATTCTTGATTTAAGGGACTGGTCGATCTGGGTGGGGCATCGGCATCGGGTTTACCCTTAAGCCTGAGCCTCCAGGGACTCAAATGCCAAGCTTTTGGGCCCAGAGAAAATGCCAGATGTCCTGATACCTGTAGGCTCATACCCTATCCTTTTTTTTTAGGGTATCTACTTTTCTTTTCAACAGATCCTAACCACAAAACTAGGTATCCGAAAAAAGGGGTTGGGTATGACCCTCTAGGTATGTCCTGATCATGCCAAAAGATAGCCTGAAAACCAAAACCCCTTGCGATCCACAAGCCACAGAAAACCCGCAACATGAATGAAACCCCGCACAAAGACCATAAACTCTGCATCCTGAAGTCTATAAGCCCGGTTTCAAGTATTAATAGAACCCCAAATCGAAACAATACTAAAAATAGGAGCAAGAGAAAGGTCGAATAGTAAGAGGAGTAGGAGTAGCAGCAGTAGTAGTAGCACCAGCAGTAGTAGCAGGAGGAGGGGGAGGAGTAGTGGCAGTAGCAGTGGCAGCAGCAGTAGTGGTAATCATGCTTTCTTCACATGGCTGTACAAGGGTCGTTCATAACATGGAGCTCATTGTGTTGTCGGACTTCTATGTGCGAGGGCTTAGTGTTGACACTGTAGGCTTCCTAACATGGAGCTGAGAGTCTTGTCTGACTTCTATGTGCACGGCTTAGTGTCAACCCTGTAGGCTTCTGGCGTTGGATAGACGGGTTTAGCAAAGTGCTGGGTTCCGTTTAGAACCCTTAACCCTAAACTCCCCAAACCCCGGAACCTAAACTTTGGGGCTACGGAAAAATGGGCGTAACCTTATGAAGGTTTATTTTTTACGAGGGGTTTAGGACACACACCGTGGGTGCCTGCAACTTCTCCACCTCTGCTGACACTGGTGCCTGCAGATACGCAGTAGCAAGACGTGCTGTGAAATAGCATCTGACGTCCCGAAATCCCCTAGGTAGAACGCTGAACAAGCAGCCTCATGTTTTCCATAACGGTCCATGCAGTCATGTGGCACATACTTTGACCCTGATGTACCGACATAAGAAAGCAATCCCTTTGCGGCCTGAGTATATGCTGCATGGACCATCAACGCTTAGACCTTAAGCCCTCATGGTTTGATTATAGACCCTTTGAAGGAAGCCGTCAAACCGAGAAAATGAAACACCTGTTTAAACCGAATAACGAGTTAAGCACCTTATCCCCCACCCCCCCCTGCCAGCACCCTCTTCAAACAAAAAGCTTTAAACAGAGGGCTTTAGGGCTTGAGGAAGGCTTTACGGTTTAGCGCTGGGGCTGCAGAATAGAACCTCGGATGCTCAGCTTTTGCTTGAGACATGTTGGGGGGCTTTTTCAGGGTCTGCCAGGCAGACTGACATGGCAAAAGAGAGGCGGGTTAAGGTTTCGGGTTGTAAGCGAGAGCACCTGCTTCAATCAAGTCCTAATCTGGGCTTTGAAGTAACCAGGGAGAAACAAAGTATAGGCTTTTGTTTAATTCCATAATGGTTCCCTTTAAGTGGCAGGTCCCCAAACAAGTACTAAAGTATGGTACTCCAAAGCCAAGTAATGCGGCTTGGCTGTTGTATGGCTATAGGAAACGACCAGGTTGTTGATGAATATCATTGTATATTCTTACCTGCATCCCCAAACCCTACAAAATAGTAGGTTATGACCCCTTAATTAGAGGGTCGAACCCTTAAAACGGTAGGTTTTTGGATCCACAGGTACAAGGACTGGAAGTATAAACCACTCGCGGAGGAGCGTACTTGGAGGACAATATCAGCCGTCATAAGTAAAGTTACTTTGTTTGCTGCCTTTTGTTACATTCATGCCCGTAGCTACTACTTAGGGGATCATGGGACTTGATAGGTTATAAGTACCTTAATTGGGGTTATTAGTGATTATAAGTATGGTTACCCTATTTAAAATCCTAGTTACCTAGTTACTAAGTCCCATGATCCTTTAAGGAGTCCCTAAACCCTAGACCCTTAAAGGGAACCCTATCATAGAAATCTATAGCACCTTTTCAAGGAGCCCCTAAACCCTTTAAAGGAGTCCTGTGCCGGTAGTGACCAAGTCCCATGATCCTTCGAGTAGATCCTAAACCCTAACCCCATAGATCCCTCTAAGGAACCCACTAGATCCCTTTGAGGAACCCTATAGATCCCTTCATGGAACCCTATAGATCCCTTTAACGAGCTCTGTGAGAACCCTTACTAAGTCCCATGACCCTTAAAGCAAACCCTAAACCCCAAACCCTTAAAGGGAAGCCCATTATAGAGCCCTACCCAGAGGGTCCAAGTACCCAAATAGCAGGGTTTTAGATCCCAAAATCCATACTCTGAGTGGTTTTTGGACCTTGAAACCCTACTATTTGGGTACTTGGACCCTTAGTGCTATAGTACCCTTATAAGGATATAAGGAGCCCTACACTTGGGGCCCCCTAGCTACTATGTCGCATGATCCTCTCAGCAAAGGGGTCAGGTTTGGGCCAAGAGGCGAGGAAAGGATCCGAAAAGCTTCAGCACCCGCTGTAGGGCTTTAGGTTTAGGGTTGGGGTTTAGGGTTTAGGGTTTAGGGTTTAGGGTTTAGGGTTAGGGTTTAGGGTTTAGGGTTTAGGGTTTAGGGTTAGGGTTTAGGGTTTAGGGTTTAGGGTTAGGGTTTAGGGGTTTAGGGGTTTAGGGGTTTAGGGTTTAGGGTTTGGGGTTTAGGGGTTTAGGGTTTAGGGTATGCTGGGCATTTTAGGTAACCAGAAAGAAAAAAGGTATAAACCTGCATTTCATAATGGTTCCTTTGAGAAAAAAGTACTAAAGTATGGTACTCCAAGCCCTCAATTCGTAGTTATGATATTTATGCCCCTACAACGCCTGAAACTCTGAGGGTGGGCTACTGAAGCTTTGGTAAAAGTCCAGAGCGGATTCCATTAGGGTTTAGGTTTGGGGCTCTGGGGGTCGTGCAAAGGCTCTGTAAGATTCCCTAAATTACATCATCGATAGCCTTTAATGGAACCTATATGATTCCTACAAGGGCTTTATAAGTAAAAAATCAACATCCGAGTCTTAGTGTAGACCCCTGATTCCTAAACCCCCCGATCTTAAGAAGGGATTGCAATAGGGATCCTAAGATCCGGGCCGTTCAAGAGAAGGGATGTCTCATTAGCCAGAGGCTAGCGGTTGCTGCGTGACAAGGGGTTGAAGGACAGAGATAACATTGCAGAGCTGCATGCGAAACCCTAGACCGCAAAACCCTTGAACCCGGAAAGAGCTCCTGTTTGGTCCAAACAGCTCAACGCTTTTCTAGCAATCGGTTTTAAACTCCAGATTACCTTTACCGAACCCTGAGAGAACCCTTTCAAGGAATCTCTTCTGTGACGGCAGACACCCTAAACCCTAAACCCTATGCCCTAAACCCTAAACTTAAACCCTTAACCCTGAAACCTAAATCCTAAAACCTAAACCCTAAACCTAAACCCTAAACTTAAACCCTAAACTTAAACCCCAATTAAGCTTAAACCCCCAAAAAATCCGCGACCTTCGTCTCGGCAGGCGGGGGCTCAGACGGCGGCGCTGGTGCGGGGGCCTCGCTGTGGCAGGAATTGAGGGTTCCTTTAAAGGGATCTATCCCTAAGGCTCCATGTAGCCATATAGTATATACTTAGGCCTTAAAGTACCTATATAGGAACCCCTTTAAGGCCTAAGTACCTACTATATGGGTACATGGAGCCTTTGGGTATAGGGGTTCCTCTAAGTTCCCGAGATCCATAAGGGTTGGGCTCATAGTATAAGGGGCTTATTTAAAAACATATATTAGGTACGGCCCCCATACAGTAAGAGTCTATAATAGGGCTACTATTAAGGTCCTACTATGTCTGTATTATGAATATTATTCAACTATTGCTGAGTGGGGCCGCACCTAAAACATATACCTGTATAAACTTCTAGCCCGCATCAAAGTACCCACAACCTTGCTTGCTTAGTGGTGTCGAGCCGGGTTGTTGGGCTTGGGGTGTAGGTACACTGGGTTGAGGGTTTCATCGATTTTTCGATATTGACCCTAAAATAGTAAGCTTACGAAATATCCGAAAGCAACAATCATAAAAGAAAAACACATCAACCCTATTATAGCTTAAAACCCATAGAATCCTTGAGAAACCCTTTACGAACCCTAAACCCTGAAAAACCCCACACCCTTAAGGAACCCTAAACCCTACACCCCAAACCCTAAATCCTGATAGAACCCTTAAGGAATCCTTTAAGGAACCCTAAACCCTAAACCCTTAAGGAATCCTTTAAGGAACCCGAAACCCTAAACCCTGAAGGAATCCTTTAAGGAACCCTGATAGAACCCTTAAACAATCCTTCAAGGAACCCTAAACCCTTACGGAATCCTCAACGGAACCCTTTCTTTCAAAGTCCCCTGCCAGATAAGCCCCTAATAGAACAAACCCTAAACCCTAAACCCTTACGAAATCCTCAACGCAACCCTCATGAACCCTCAAGGGTTTAAGGACCCCCAAACCCCAAACCCTTAAGGGTAAAATCCCTAATAGAACCCTCAAGGAACCCTTTACGAACACCTTCATATAAAGCCCCTAATAGGACACCTAAGGAATCCTCAACGGAACCCTTCCTTTTAAAGTCCCCTGCCAGAAATAGACCAGCACCTGCGCCTCGGTGGCTACCGTCTCGAGGGCCGGTCGGGGAGCACCTTAAATAGGGACTTGAACATGTGTGTGTATATATATATATATATATACATATTTATACATACATAGACAAACATATGAATATAGTATATAAACAAACGTATATATATATATATGCACATTTGTATTTATAAACACATTTGTAAATAATGCATATACACATGTTGTTGTATTGTAGAACCCCGGTTTATGGTCTAGGGTCTAGAGTAGTGTTCAAAACGGCCTTCACTCTAAGGGTGCATAGAAACTACTAGTGTGGAGAGCATTGGCTAGTTGGGTCCTGCCCCCGCCCTGTCAGCGTCTGTATAAGGGGGTTTTGGTGGGGCTATGTATCGTCATATCATAAGTGCTATCCAACTGTGGTTCCTGAGTAGCCCCAGTACAATTTACTAGTGGTAGTGTTATACGACCTAACCCTAAGGGTCCATGTACCCAAATAGTACATACATTGAACTGAAATTTTCCATGTTTAGGTGCATTGGACCAAAATATATACCATATGGGTACATGGACCCTTAGAGTAATGATTAAAGAGTGGCCCTTAATGTTTTGATTACTCCATATACTCCTTCAAGTATATACTAAGCTACACTTCTACAACCCAAAATGCGAGCACCTAGTGATTGGATCGTCCGGACGCTAAGGGAAGCTCTAACGCTGGGCTCTATAGTGGGTTAGGGCAGGATTTATCAAGGTCTCGGGTCTACTTAAAGGATCATGGGACTTAGTAACTAGGGCTATAAATAAGGTAACCATACATGTAATTACTGAGTCCCATGATCCTCTAAGATCCTCTAAGTAGGGTGTAGGGATTTCGCAGACTTTCGATCCCCTTTCGGGGTTTACTAGGGCTTGGGGATAAGGGAGGTTCAGAAAAAGGGGACCCTAGTATAGTACCCTAAATGGTAGGATCTTTATTACAAAGACCACAAAATAGGGTACCCCTAAGTTTGGGAGCTCCCATATGATGCTCTTAGCCTTCCAGATCTGCTAACAACGAGCTCTCGAGCTGTGCCTGCACGGCACGACTGTCACCACCGCTACGAGCGTCACCCCAGGTCACGACGGAACCATCAGCGAGGATGGCAACAAAAGCGGTCTGATTGGCTTGGATCTGCTTCACGTTCTTCAGCTGAGCCTGCACAGCACTGCTGTCGCCCCCGTAGCGAGCATCGCCCCAGGTCACTACAGATCCATCGTCGCGGATGGCAGCAAAAGCAGAGTAAGTAGCTTGGACCCGCTGCACCCTAACCAGCCGGTCCTGCACATCACGACTGTCACCACCACGAATAGCACTACCCCAGGTCACGACCGATCCATCAGAAAGAATGGCAGCAAAAGCGCCCTGAGAGGCTTGAATCTGCTGCACAGCCTTCAGCTGATCCTGCACAGCGCCGCTATCACCACCGTAGTCAGCGTAACCCCAGGTCACGACCGAGCCGTCAAAACGAATAGCAGCGAAAGCACCACGGTCAGGGATGGTCCAAGAAAAGCTGCTGGACACTTGGATTTGCTGCACAGTCTTCAGCTGATCCTGCACAGCGCTACTGTCACCACCAGAACCATCATCACCCCACGTCACGACGGAGCCGCTGCGAAGTATGGCAGCAAAAGCACTGTAGGAAACATGGATCTGCTGCACATTCCTCAGCTGATCCTTCACAGAACTGCTGTCGCCCCCAGACGGGGAACGGCCCCAAGTCACGACGGAACTGTCGCCAAGAAGGGCAGCAAACGCACGGCCATTGGCTTGGATCTGCCTCACATTCTTCAGCTGATCCTGCACAGCACTACTGTCACCACCTTCGAAAGCATCACCCCAGGTAACGACCGATCCGTCGTGCAGAATGGCAGCAAAGGCGCGAACAGCAGCTTGGATCTGCTGCACGTTCTTGAGGTGACCCTGCACAGCACTACTGTCACCCCCGTAGCGAGCATCGCCCCAGGTCACGACAGAGCCAACACCAAGAAGGGCAGCAAAGGCGCGGCCATTGGCTTGGATCTGCTGCACATTCTTCAGCTGGCTTTGCACATCACTGCTGTCGCCACCATTCCCAGCATCACCCCATGTCACGACAGTTCCGTCACCAAGGATGGCAGCAAACGCATACTGAGTGGTTTGGATCTGCTGCACATTCTTCAACTGATCCCGCACAGCACTACTGTCACCGCCAGAAACGGGATTACCCCAGGTGGCGACCGACCCGTCGCCAAGAATGACAGCAACAGCGGCTCTGGATGCACAAGCTTGAACCCGATTAATGTGCAAGGTCAGTGAGTCACCATTCTGCACCTTGGTCTTCTTGATCGGCACGCATCCGTCGAGAAGGCTTCCAGAAGAGTCGAGCAACCGCCCTCTTCCGACTCCAAGCGCGTTCTGCGCCCGACATTTGACTACTTCCACGCTTTCATCCAAGCCGGCTTGCACGGTGGCTGTTTTGCCACTGAGCAGTCCAACTTGCACAGTTATCGACATGGGAGGTTCCGAAAACAGATGCCCTGGGCTGTATCTACCCAGAAAGGCTACCGGTTGCCTACTCTACTACACTGGGTTTAGGTAGGGGCTTCAGCTAAGGGTTTGGCCACTATTTTAACACGAGCCTGAGCGTCGGTTTAGGGTTTAGAACAGTAGCTGCTATAGTCGCTATAACCTCTGCATCGTCAACCCCCAAAGCCTGAAGGCTACCTAACATTTGCCGAGGCCATAGAAGAACAAACTAAGTAAACACATCGAATCCTGTTTTCGCCTACTATATTACCCTTAGGCTCTAAGGACTCATATTTTGAGGCTTTTGGGCCCAAAGACCATACTATATAAGGCTTTTGAGCTATTTTGAGCCTTAGGGTTAAAATACCTGAACCTTGTTGTAAACCCTATGAACCTCAACGGGCCTGAACTGTAACCCCCCCAGGACTAGTTACAGGCCTTATTTGACCCTAGCCCCTAACCTCATACACCCTGAACCGACTCTTCTGTTTTAGGATACGTAGACCTTTTGGCTAGCCGAGGGCCAAAAAGATTCATGTCTTCGGGATGCGTTCAGAGCTGTGGGTTTAGGGTTTGGGTAGGGTGTAGCTTGCTGGAGGTTCTTGCACGAGGCAGAACACTGCTTTGATGAGACACCGGGCGTGCTTGTTTAGATACAAGGTAGAAGGTTGAGATAAGAGTCATACGACAAATGAGGTGTAGGGTTAGGATCTCGGCTTTAGGATTGTTTCGGGTTTAGAGATAATTGAGGGTAAAATAAGGACTTTAATACTCCCAACAATCGTTGCGGCTCATACTATCGACCGTACTAGGGCGCTTAAGTGGATGCTATTTCCTCATATTTCTGGGGCATCCAGGCAGGAAGCATGAGCAACCTTGCTGGAGCATCGGGTGACAGCACCAACCGGGCTGTCAAGGCCCATGTCCGAACCGTACATCAACCTTGCCAAACCCCTAAGGCTCCATGTAGCCATATAGTATATACTGAGGCCTTAAAGTACCTATTTAGGGACCCCTTTGAGGCCTAAGTACCTACTATAGGATACCCAGTAACCTAAGAATAAAAAGGCCTCTCTTTTTGGTATTGGCAAACTGAACTCGAAACCCTCCAATCCCTAAGCGCCGTAAGCACTATCCCCCACCCAACGAGCAATCCTATATTCTCCTCATTGGGTACGGCCCCCGTACAGTAACAGTCTGTAATAGGGCTACTATTAAGGGCCTTATATATCTATATTATGAATATTATTCAACTATTACTGAGTGGGGGCCGTACCCAATCTCCTCAACTCTACACCAGAATACCCTAAAGCATGAACACCGGAAACAGACAATAATGTAAAGCACCACTCGACAACAATAAACGCAATCCCCCCATGCCGAACGGCCCGCCCCATGATCACAACACAGAATCTCCAAGCCAAAACGCTGAACCGCAAGCTCTAGACCCCTTAAGGACCCCATAATAAGGTCCCTGGAGGCATAGGGTACAGCATTGACGGGTCCCCCGCTCCGGTGCAAGAGCTGTGGAAATGGTCGTGGGATGGGTGCCTTCGGCACCTGGTTTGGGGGTTTAGGGGTTTAGGGGTCTTGGGTTTAGGGGTTTTGGGGTTTAGGGTTTTAGGGGTTCAGGGTTCAGGGGTTTAGCGTTTACTGTCAACGTGAGACACTCTCTGTTGTTGAGGACTACCCATAGGCCCCAAAGTAGTTCCTTTTTGTGGTTCATATATAGAATCCTATTAGGTAATCCCAAAAAGGAACTACTTTGGGGCCTATGCTGTTGCCCAAAGGCTCCATGTACCCATATAGTAGGTACTTAGGCCTCGAAGGGGTTCCTATATAGGTACTTTAAGGCCTAAGTATATACTATATGGCTACATGGAGCCTTAGGGTTGTTTGAGGACTAAGTATTGGCTCTAATTATGAGTACAAGGTTGCGGTGTAGACTCTCAGCGTAGACTCCACCTTAAACCCCAAACCCTTAAGCCCATACCAAACCCTAAACCCTTAGCCCTTACTAAAGCCTTGACGTTACTAAACCCCAAACCATAAGCCGCCTACAGACTGCTTAGAAGATGGGCGTAGGGTTCGGGCTTAAGAAGTTCGGGGTTCGGGCTGGGCTCGATTGTTGAGATCAGGAGCTGTGCTTAGCAACTTCTCTCAGCGGGTTTAACGTTTAGGCATTTGGCGTTTAAAGTTCAGACGAAGACTTTCGTTTGCTGTATATGACATTGAAAGCAGATAGACTTTGCAAGTGTGGCTGCTTTGTGTCCCTGTTTTGCCCTTTAACATCCCCAAACCCTAAACCGGGCGTCCATAAAACTTCCGAATGCACTCTCGCCATGTTGGCGAAGTATGGCAAGTGAGTGGTGCCAAAAACGATGAAACGTGGAGTCATTACGGATAAAGGTGCTGCACGTCACTCAGGCCTGCACGGTTGTCCACCAGCTTGCTTGTTGTTTATTTGTTTAATTTTCCAGTTCACGTGTTCCAGACATTGCCAAAAGCAAGGCCGACACATAATAGTCCTGGAACCCCTTTACCAAATCGAATCCCCCATCAAAGTGGTAAAGGCACCCTTAAACGAACCCTAAGCCCTATATAGATCGCGGAAAGGAACATCCAAGGAACACCCCCCCCATAAACCCTAAACCCTACAATCCAGGCCCAGACCTTGTCCGCTGCTGCTAGGCTCGGGAGCGCCTCCCACATCAGCGCTGCTAGGGTTATAAGGTTTTCGGGGTTAGGAGTTGAAGGTTAGGGGTCTGGGGCGTTTAGGGTTTAGGGTTTAAGGATCATAGGGTTTAGAGTCTCGGCATTTAGGGGCTTACCTGAACCCTCCGAACCCACCTTTCTAAGGCTCGTTATTATGCTTGCCGTATATAACTCTGAAACAAGTAGGTTATTTGGGGTAAGGGTTTAAGCATTGTAGTTTAGCGGTTATCTGGACTTAGTACAGTGTTTGGACTTGTGGCGCGGATGAGCGGGTTTTAATAGCTTAGCAGGGTTAAGGGCTGAGAAGGGTTTCGAAGCACGGGCGTAAGGTGAAGCGTTGAGGGTTTAAGGTTGGGGATTTACGGTGTCGGGGGCTTAGTATCTTTGTCATTAGGGTTTCGATGGATTGTTCATGAGTGTAAAGATGGCATTCATGAGTTTCACTGGAACTCAATGGAAAGATTCATCTAGTTTTTTCTGTAAGAAACTGCTTACATGAACCAGACTTACAGGGCGCATATAGATGTTGTGTGACACACCGTCAGTCCCAAACGCGAGGCGAGTCCGTCTAGCCGCCACTCCAAAACCCTGGCCTGATGCAGTGAAGTGGTAGCTGGCTCCCTAGACCCAAGAGTAACCTAGGAATAAAACGGGTGCCCTTTTTGGTTTACAGGGGCTTAATAAGGGAACCAGAACCCTAAAAAAGGGAATAAGGGCTTACTCTGGGTCCTAGCTCCTCACGCCGGTTCAATCCACGGCTTGCAACGAAGAAGGCTCTGATACAATATCCAAGAGCGAGGCAAGGCGCTCAGTCTCTGGATGAGCCTGCCGGATGGAACAAAATGTGGGCCAGGAGCAAAATGTGGGCCAGGATGAGGGCCAAAATGACCGCCAGGAGCACAATGACCAGGAGGGCCAAAATGCGGGCCAGGATGCCCAAAGTCAGCCCAGCCGCCAGGGTGCGGCCGCCAACCCGGCGCGTGCTGCCAGCCGGGCTCCCATGGCCCCGTGCTGGGATGCCAAGCAGGCTCCTTTCAACAAACGTGAGGGTATGAATGCAACAGTTGGGCGTAGTGCCTCCTCCTCGATTTCTCCACTACGAATACAAGGAAACGCTGTAACAGGTAACACCCTGCGTAAACCGCTGAAAGCATCCTCGTAAAGTCATTCTAGAGCCTCTACAAGACACAACTTCCTAAAACCTTGCATGAACCCTAACCCTAAGGCTCAAAATAGCCCAAAAGCCTTATATTATATAGTATGGTCTTTGGGCCCAAAAGCCTCAAAATATGAGTCCTTAGAGCCTAAGGCCTAAGGGTAAGAGAATTTGAAGAAACCTCCCGAACCATCATAGGGATCCTTAGGGGTGTAGGGGGGAGGGGTGTAGGGGACTATATTTCCTTAAATAGGCCTTATTAGTCCTTATTATGGGCCTTAAGGCCCCCTACCCCCCCTCCCCCTACACCCCTAAAAATCCCTATGAAACCCCGAAACCCCCACTTCAAGACCCTAAGGGCCTCAGCAGGTTGACCCATGGAGCGCGACGAACTCCGTAGCCTACCAGGGCTGCGTTCAAACTCTAAAGGACCCCAAACAACCCACTACCTCTGAAATAAGGAATGCTCTGAAAATATTAGAGGACCTCATATATAATAGGGTTTGCGGTACATTGCTGAATTCAGGGGTGTTACGGTTTTGCCGGATTTAGGAGATGTTTGGGGCTCTAGAGGCTTCAGGGTTCGGATGAAGTATGAGGGTTACGTTTTTAAGGGTTCCTTTACCCTTAGGCTCTAAGGACTCATATTTTGAGGCTTTTGGGTATGAGGGTGTATAAGGGCTCTATAGGGGTTCTATAACCTTTAGGCTCTAAGGACTCATATTTTGAGGCTTTTGGGCCCAAAGACCATACTATGCAAGGCTTTTGGGCTATTTTGAGCCTTAGGGTTAGGACTTTAGAGGCTTCCTTTGAGGGCGCTTTTAAGGGGGTACTACAAGGTTTGGGGGTTGCGCTTTCTAGGGCCTGGAAGCTAGATGCTTCTTATGCCTCCATACTTTGGACACTGCCCCCCCCCACCCAGTAACAGTTGGATAATATAACCAAAAAGTGTGTAAAGGGCCCAAAATAGTACCCTTAGTGAACTGTTACTGCATGGAGCCGGCCTTTTCCTGGATTTGATCAGAGACTGGTGCACAAGCACGAACCTGTCTCGATGATCCAGTAGTGTGTGAAACTGACGCTCGGCACAGCCAGTGCAGACCAAGTTGTACATCCGAAAAGGTTTCAGGCAGAGCATGGGGGGTCGGAGGATTTATCAGCAGTCATATCCCCTTATGATCGCTCGAAAAGTATACGCTGACATAGCCGCCAGCACCCGAAACCCTAAACCCAAACCCCTGAAACTCCAAAGCCCTTAAACCCCTGAAGCCCTTAAACCCTAAAGCCCTTAAACCCTAAAACCCTAAACCCTAAAACCCTAAAGCCCTTAAACCCTAAAGCCCTTAAACCCTAAAGCCCTAAACCCTAAAACCCTAAAACCCTAAAGCCCTTAAACCCTAAAAGCCCTGAAACCCTAAAACCCTAAACCCTAAAACCCTAAAGCCCTTAAACCCTAAAACCCTAAAACCCTAAAGCCCTTAAGCCCTAAACCCTGAAACCCTAAAGCCCTTAAACCCTTAAGCCCTAAACCCTAAAACCCTAAAGCCTTTAAACCCTTAAGCCCTAAACCCTAAAACCCTACTAAATAGTAGGTTATGACCCCTTAATTAGAGGGTCAAACCCCCCAAAACAGTAGGTTTTGGGATCCCCAGGTAAACCCTAAAACCCTAAAGCCCTTAAACTTAAACCCTCAAGCCGAGCCTGGTTGTGCGAACCGTCGCAGATTGATATTCATTCTCTCGGGGCACGCGTCGGCTCCCAGGCTGCTAGGAGCCCTTATGTAACACCCTTATAAACCCCCTATAAAGGCCTTTAAAGGAGCCCTTACAGATCCCCTTGAACGAAACCCTATAGACCCCTTAAGGGAAACCCTAACCCTAAGGCTCAAGATAGCCCAGAAGCCTTATATAGTATGGTCTTTGGGCTCAAAAGCCTTAAAATATGAGTCCTTAGAGCCTAAAGGTTATAGAACCCCTATAGAGCCCTTATACAGGACCCTTATAGAACCCCTTATGTATTATCGTACTTTCCTACACCTAAGAGTGAATGCTGTAAACAAGATGTCAAGTCTACTTAAAGGTTCCTAGGAGTTAGTATAGGACTTAGTAAATAGGGACACTTAATTATAAGGTAGATATAACCTTACTGATTAAGTCCCATGAGCCTCCAAGTAGCTGAACAAACTGTTTGGGGTTTAAGTGTTCAGGGTTTAAGAAACCCTAAGATTGTATCTGTGCCAGTTTTGCTACTAGGAACCTACTAGAATCTCACGGACTCTATCTCTACCGGGCTCTCATGTGAGTTTTTGTGGCTGAGACTACTCCTCTTCCTCCTCGTGCTGCTGCTGTTACTGGTACGACGACATACAAAACTATTACCATCCTCACGATGGCGACGACGATTGGCTTGTACCTGCGGCCACGCGCACTGTTACTACGGCGACGATACGGACTCAAAACCTCTGCAACCGAAGGGTTCCAATATAGACATATATAGAGCCTCAGAACGTGTCCAAGATGTCCGCAGCCTCGTGCATTTTGCAAGAGGCGAGCTACACTCGAAGCCAGAGACTCCAAAACCCCCTTTCTTAAGGACAATTCCTCGAATCGGGTCCTACTAGAATTTAGGGCGTATTCCTTCATTAAGGGATTTTGGAGTCTCTGGGAGACACATGCTATTGTCGTGGAGATGCCGGTGGCCGATTCATGTCGGCGGCGTGGATAAACAAGCCAAGTCCGAAACGCCTAAACTCTAAGTGGAGATCCCGAAGTAGGCACAGTCTTTAGAGTGAAGACCACAGAATAGATACCGTTGTCGGATGGGCTGTAGAGTTCGAAGCAATTAGGCCCCAAACCCTACCTAGAGACTCATACCCCACCCCATTGTAGGATACCTAGTAAACTTAGTATTATGGTTAGGAACTTGTAGAAGAAGAGCAAACAACTACCCTAAAACAAGGGTACAGTATGAGCCTGCAAGTAGGTAAAACCATGACTAATGTAGGAACCTGATTAAGAAACCCTGGGCCTCTTCACCCCAAAATAGTAGGATTCATATAAGCAGCCCTAATGAAGGCCCAAGGTTTCTTAATCAGGTTCCTTCATTAGAACCTTGAACTTCCCACCCCGGTTTACAGCACAAGACCTCCAAGTCGAAACCCTGAAGACTCGCTGGCGAGCCCAACCCTAAACCCTAAATTTTCAAAATGCCCTAAACCCTAAACCCTAATCCCTAGGCCCTAAGCCCTAAAACCAAAAAGGGCTTGTAGGAGCCCGTCAGAAGTGAGAACACCAACTGCATCCATGGATAGGTTTCGGGTTGAGGGTTTGGTGCGCAGTGGTTTAGTTTAGTGGTTGACGAGTTCGGGTTTTGGGTTTAGTTTAGGTTGCTCTTCTTTTTGTTAGTCAGGGTCTATGGCATGGCTATAGACTGCACACTTTTGCATACCTCACACCTCCTGGGACACCAGGCGAAACCTTCAGTCCCTGTAGAACCCCGCACCCTCAACCACTTCCCCCTTTAAACCTCAGGTCTATTTAGGGTTTAAGATTTAGGGGTTTAGGATTTAGGGTTTGCTAGGATGATTCGAGGGTTATGCGGGGCTCCTTATAATGCAGGCCCTACCATCTAGCATCTAAATTAGAGTCCCTTGGGCAACCTACCGGCAAGCTCCATCTGAGTGACACAATCATCCTTGGTTCATGGGACTTAGCAACTACAGTTATAAGTACCCTAACTGGGGTTATAACTACCTGTGGATCCAAACCCTACAAAATAGCAGGTGACGACCCCTTAATTTAGAGGGTCTGACCCTGAAAACGGTAGGTTTTTGGATCCCCAGGTAATTATAAGTCGATTTACCGTAATTATAACCGTGGATACTAAGTCCTATGAACCTCTAAGTAAACCCTAAACCCTACACCGTAGGGACTTGGCCTACGTCTAGTTACACTTAAATATAACCCTAAGGGTCCAAGTATCTAATAATCATATACTCTCATAAATATTGAGATACATAACTACTAGCCTAAACCCAAGTACCTGATTATTGGGTCCTTTGGACCCTTAGGGTAACCGTGGCTATCCTAAGTCCCATGAACCTTTAAGCAGACCTTAAACCTCTAGATCCCTCTAAGGAACCCTATAGATCCCTTTAAGGAACCTTGTAAGGAGCCCCTTATAACTCTACTTACTAAGTCCCATGAACCTTCAACCATTCCTGCGAGCGCGGAGCCGGCGACCCCAACTTTCCTCCACTACCTCCCCCTTTAAATCTAGGTCAATTTAGGGTTTAGGGGTTTAAGGGTTTAGGGTTTAGGGTTTAGGGTTTAGGGGTTTAGGGGTTTAGGGGTTTAGGGTTTAGGGTTTAGGGGTTTAGGGGTTTAAGGGTTTAGGGTTTAGGATCTACGATGATTGAAGGGTACCTTAAGGCCTAAGAGTAGGAATAAAAAAGGGTGCACTTTTTGGGGTTAAAGGGGGTTGTAAGGGAACCTAAATCCTAAAAAAAGGCATAAGGGCCTACTCTTGGTCCTAGTTTGGGGCTTAGAGTTTCGTGTGCAGGGTCCAGGGGTGAGGGCCTTTAGGGCCTAATAGGGCTTACTTAAAGGATCATGGGACTTAGTAAGTACTTGAAGGGCTCCTTAAGAAGCTCCTTAAAGGTATCTATAGGGTTCCTTAAAGGGATCTATAGGGTTTAGGGTTTAGGGTCTACTTGGAGGATCATGGGACTTAGTAGCTCGGGTTATAAATAAGGTAACCATACTTATATCCCCAAATGAGGTACTTATAACCGTAATTACTAAGTCCCATGATCCTCCAAGTACTGGGTTCAGAATAAGTAACCTTATGGTTCTACAACCCCCCCGAAACCCTCAACGATTTGGGAATCACCGGCTGGGCGTTTGGCCTGACATTCTCCGAGCACTCATAGAAGCTAGAAGGGTCTAGGTTTGAGGGTTCATAGGGTGCAGGGATGTTCTTGCAGCATGTGCTAACTGTTCTGGTGCGGGGTTCAGCGAAAGGGGGTATACTTAGCCTAAAACCCCCACTAAATTCCTAATTTCAAGCACCTCTACAACCGAAGCGCTAAACCACAAGGTTCCGAAGGTTCCGAAGATAAGAGAAACCTACGATCTGTCGAAGCCGGGAGCAAAAGCTCTCCAACTATAGAATTCACAGCTTAGCAGAGGGCATCCTGAACCACACCCTGCTTAAATGTCCACGGGACTTGGTAGCTAAGGTCATAAACAAGGTAGGACTGAGCTGGGATTCGGGGTTTGGGGCTTAGAGTTTCGGGTTTAGGGGTTTAGGGGTTTAGGGTTTACCTGTACCAATACTTTCACTATAACCCCACTTGAAGTACTTCTACCTGTACTTACTAAGTCCAATGAAATTCCAAGTAAACCCGACACGCTAAGCCCTGAAGGGACCCCAGCTAAGCAATCAGAGAGTTTCTTGCGGACCGTCTGAGGCCACGTGAGTTAGGGTTTAAGCCACAGGGTTGGGACTGGGGCTTACTTAAAGATAAGTAGGGTAACCGTACTTATAATTACTTCTAACCCCAATTAAGGTACTCATCAATTTACTTACTAAGTCCCATGAAATTTGAAGTAGGGCTGGGCATCCCGATTCTATACTAACGACTCACCAGAAAAAATCGCACCCAGTAACAGTGGAACTCTCGAATGCGAAACCCTAGGCGCCTAAGCCTAACCTTGAAGCCCTCACCGCCCTAAACCTCAACGCCCTACAGCCCTAACATATGGCCCTAGCCCAACATCCTAAACCGCTAACCCCTAAAGCACCAAACCCAAGATCCCAAAGCACTAAACCCTACGCGCTAACAGTAACTGCCCAAACAGGATTTAGGGTTTAAGCCAGAGGGTTTCCCAAACGCTGTCAACTAAGTCCAAAATCCTTGAACGTCTCCAAGAAACGGAACCCATCTAAACCCTCTTCTCGAGAGTCAAAGCAGCCCAGAAGCGACAACAAAGAATATAGGCTTAATCTAGGGATCTCCCATACAAATCCCTTCTACTGAGGCCCAACACGGGTAGGGACATCCCTGGATGTTTCAACAAAAACCCTAAACCCAGAACCAGAACTACTAAACCCTAAAACCCTAAGAGTCCTTCTCGGTGACCCGATTTGGAAACTCTTTGAAGCTATTAACAACTGATCCCGGACGCGTCAGCTCCACCGCTTTGTAACTCAGGGCCGTCGCTGTGGCAACCTGATTACAGTATGCAAGGATCACGGATTTCCGTAGAGTTTTACAGCATTGCTGCAGCTGAAAGACTATGCCTTCATGGAAATCTTAAATGAAAAAGGGCTCCATTCTCTCATCTAAAGAAGTCGAATCCTTAAGCCAGAAGTACTAGGCTCTCTGGGAAGACCATGAAAGGTCTTTGGGCTTAGGGTCTCGAGACATCCGGGTTGGGGGTTTCATATAGGGGCCTTAATAATTAGAAGAGGGTTCTGGGGGCCTATTATATGAGCCCCACAGCCGCCTCTTCTGTATACTATAAAGATAGTAAGAAACCACCAAAATAGTATTGGTAATTTTGTAGGCCCCTATAGTACCCTTAGGGTCCATGTACCCATATAGTATATACTTGGGGGAAAGTACCTGAATTGGGACTTCATCAAGGCCAAAGTATATACTACATGAGCACATGGAGCCTTAGGGGTGGCGGTCTCGAGACTGCTGGGGCTAGGGGTCTAGGGTTCAGGGTTTTGGTCTTAGGGTTGGATTTGGGGCAGGGCTTGAGCTTCAGGGTTCAGGGTGTAGGATTTAGGGTTTGTGGTTTAGTGTAGGGTTTAGGGATGAGGATTTAGGGTTTAGGCTTTAGGGTTCAGGATTTAGGGTTTCGGGTTTAGGCTGTAGGGTTTATGCGGTGCAGTTTTGAGAGCAAATTACGCACGAATCATCCAAAGACCTGTCGATTAACACCACTGGAACCCGGAATGCGAATCCTAAACTCTGGTGACATAGCGACAGGAAACAGTAACCCTAGACAACAACACCAAACAAACCTTACACTCCAATTTAACACACCCTAAAACCAGATTGAACCGGAAACCACAAGCCTTCCTACACTACAACCTGTCTAGCAGGACGGATTAGCTTTTAACAGACCTGATATAGCTCCGGCAAAAAACAAATACTATGCACGAACTCAAAACCGGAAAACTAGTATAGCACCGAAAAAACACCCTAGCAATCCAAGACCGACTTGATGCAGGGCCTTCATCAGAATAGGGTTTCGGAGGTTATAACCTGCTATAAGCATCATAGTAGAATTAATTCTTCAGGCTGCCTCTATAGTAGTGTGTAAAATCCTAGTTAAATTTAGACCGTTAACCAACCGTTAAGCCGTAAAGCCTTCTAATTCTTCACGCTTCTTCTACAGTAGTGCATAAAACCCTAAATTTAAACCGTGAAACCCTAGAACCACATACCCTATACCCTAAACCCTAAAACCATAAATTTGAACCGTTCAATTGCGTATGCCCTAAACCCTAAACCTTGAATCCTACTCTTTGTTGGGCTTCTTGTAGATGATGCAAAAGCTTGCATCGTCATCCATCTTCAACGTTCCAAACTTCGCCTCGTACGTCTTTTCCCAAGGCTCCATGTACCTTTATAGTAGATACTTAAGCCTTAAAGGGGTCCCTATGTAGATACTTTAAAGCCTAAGATATACTATATGGGTACATGGAGCCTTAGGGTTTGGAACTCCGCCAAAAAGCTTGTCGTCTTCTTCTTTTCGGTAGTGATTGCTTGCAAGTCTGCTCTTGTGATGCCAAGCCTTTCCTTGTTGCCGTTGGCGTTCTCCGTGAGCTCTTCGGACAAAATGCCGTAGTCCTTCCGCGCGGCATTCTCGTAGAAAGCGTCAATTTTTATTCACTAAAAAGTCCATCGGGTGATGTTGTGGATTATTGGTTTTATCTTTTTCGCGGTCTATCATATTTATCATTGTTGAGATGTTAATCACATTTTGTATGGGATTTGGCTATAGTTTTATAGTGCCGTCGTTTGTATTACGAAATCTTAAATGATGTGGGCATTTACCGCCTCTGTCACCAAAAGCGACGAAAAGGGCGTTATAAGTAGCTGTAATATATTTCTGATTAATACGGTTATATTTATCTCTTGAATTACACTACCTGATAAAGAATGTCCAATAAGACGTGTAAGATCGGGGCTTTTCTCTAATTCATCCCCTAAAACCCTAAACCCTCAAACCCTACATTTAAACCTTCCCTGAGACTCCAATATCCCTCAATTAAGGAATACTCCTTAAATTATAATAGGATCCCTAGTATGATTTAAGGAAGATTATTTAATTAAGGGGTATTGGAGTCTCTGGGTTTCAACCCTAAGCCCCGTGTACACCAGAACCATTCCTGGGGGGACCCAGGCTCCTAGGACCACCCGAGAGCCAAACTAATGTAGGAACCTGATTAAGAAACCTTGGGCCTAAGGGTTCCTTTAAAGGGGTCTATAAGGGTTACTAATAGGGGGTCTATAAGGGATCTATAAAGGGTTTAGGGTTTAGGGTAGGAACCTGATTAAGAAACCTTGGGCCGTTAGTAGGATTCCTGATATGAATCCTACATTTTGGGGGTTTGAGGACAAGGGTTTCTTAATCAGGTTTCTACATTAGGAACCACCCCGTCTGGTTCTTAGTAGGGAATTGGGGTTCCTTTCAGGGTTCCTTTAAGGGTTACTGTAAGGCTTTATATGGGTTGTACTATAGGGGTTTAGGGTTCTTAGATGGCTGTCTGGCTCTTAGCAAGGAATGGGGGAATGGATCCTTTCAGTAGTCGGTTTAGGGTTTATAGGGTTCAGGGTTTATGATCGTCCTTAAGCCCCTCCATGGTGGTCCCAATAACCCATAGTAGTCCCTATATAATCCCCCAAAATAGTCCCCATAACCCATTCACCCCAGCGTTTAGGGGTGAGGGTTTTTAGATATGCGTGGGACTGCAGCGGTAGCCCGATTGGCAAAGACGAGTCGAAGCCAAAGTTTACATTGCACTATGGCAGGAGCGCGACTTTGGCGAGCGGACATGTGTCCCAGAAAACCCTAAAGTCTAAACCTAACGAGGTTTTCAACACAAAAGGCCTCAGAGCATCTAAACCCTAAACCTTAAAATTCTGATCCCGAAACACTGAACCCTGCAGCCTAAAAAACGTCGAAACTCAACCCTAAAACCACAAAACGCCCTAAAAAAGACGGGACTCGGGCTGTTGGTCTGGGCTGCTTTGCAGCACCGTCGCATCGATAGCAGCCGCCGACCTCTGCTTAAGTCAACGGTTGAAACCATGGGCCCCTAGTATGGGCCCATAAGCTCGGATCCCTAATTACCTACTATATACCCTATATAGACTCTTAAGGGTCCCTAGAACTCCCTCAAAAAAGGCCTAAGGCTGCATATTAGGGGCCCGTACTTCTAACCTTAGATTAAGCTTATCCCTAATCTTGTTCAAGGATTTGATTCACGTTGCCATAATAGGAAATAATAGGAACCTATAGCAAATAATACGTATGGTTTCCTTATTAGCCTGCTATGGTTGTCCTTTCGAACTAGGTCTGAGGCTCCAAATTGCCCATATAGCAAGGCTACAGGCGCCACAAAACCATTGAGAGTACAGCATCTGGAGCTAGAGAAAACCCTACTCTTCGGGATACTTTGGGGAAGTACATGATTGTTGAACCCTAAACCCTAAACCCTAAAGGCCACTGGGATAAATCCTTGTGCCCTGCCCTGGTGATGGAATGCCCAGCTTTCCAACTGACAGGGTGGGACCACAGCCAAAACTGGTACCAGTATCAGGCCAGTACCGCTTCGCTGACTTGACCAAAGGGACTCAGTAGCTAGGCCATGAATAAAGTAACCTTGCTACTTTTTGTTGCTTATGACCCGTTTGAAACGAACTTATACCCTTACTTACTAAGTCCCTAACTAAGAAATATATGGCTTAGATTCTAGTAGGACCCCAAATATGACTTAAGGAATATTCCCTTCTTAAAAGGAGTTTGGAAGGTCTGGGGTAGCTTGACAATCCTGTTGGGTCATAGCCAAAGGCGACTTTGCTCGGTTCAGGCTGAGATTCCAGGCCGGCAGGTTTTGGGGAGTACCAGTAGATCCGAATAAGCCCTACTGTGTACTTGGAGGGGCAGGGTAGTAAGCGGGTTATAAGTAGAGTTCTAAGTACCCGAAAAGGAGTTACGGTTCATATTAGCTTTCGGTCTCGAGGGTCTATGGTTCTAGGAATAGTTCTTGGCACCTGACCCTAAGGCTCCATGGTGCCCATAATAGGGTTCCTTTAAGGCGTCCTTTAAAGGGTTCTATAAGGGGTTTTATAGGGTTTAGGGTATAAGGCTCCATGTGCCCATATAGTATATACTTAGGCCTTAAAGTACCTATATAGGGACCCCTCTAAGGCTGAAGTATCTACTACAAAGGTACATGGAGCCTTTGAGTGACTTATGAAAAAACATACCATTTGGACGCTTGGACACTGGGGGTTAGTACTTGCAGGATCAAGGCTGCTACCGGGGAACGTAGAAGCCTACGTGGGTAGTTGTCAAAATTAAGCTCCCTTTTTGGGTCCCTATCATGATACGGCACCAAATTTAATATTTAGGGTACCCCAAAAGGGACCAATAATTTTGACAACCACCCACGTGTAGCACCAAGAGGCGCACCTGAGAATCTGCTCCTGGAAGCTGTTCACCGGACGCATTGCTGGCGTACCCGCGCCCATAGCAACCTGCCAGGCATTCGCATTTACAACAATCCCTAAGGCACCATGTACCCATATAGTATATACTTAAGCCTTAAAGTACCTATATAGGGACCCCTTTAAGGCTTAAGTGTCTACTATAAAGGTACATGGAGCCTTGGGGCATCTACTTGCAATTCGACTTCTTCTCGGGTTTAGGGTTTAGGGGTTCGGGGTTTGAGGGTTTAGATGAGCTTACAGTTTTGGGTACCGCGCAGGATCCGTCCTTTATGCGATCGTGAATGAGTGAGTGAGTCTGCAGGGCTTCTGAACCCCTATAAACCCTATAAACCTTATAACCCTAAACCCTAAACCCAGATGATTAAAGGCACCTTCAGCGGAGGCAGCCAGAGTGGGAAAACCCGGAGCTAGGCTCCATTATGACGACGATATTGTCGACGCTGTTGGGGGCCTTGTGGTTAGAGGACGTGGTTCATGGCTATGGCCTGAGGCCGTGCATACGATATGTGTACGTGCATGAGGCCCTGAGGGCGAGCCAGGGCATGCCAACGCATACTCAGCAAACCACGGCCGCCTCGCGTGCAAGAGGTGTAACACCATCGCCTGAGGAAAATAGGTTTGGCTTTGAGGTTGCAGGCAAGGGGGCTTCCCAACAAAGTGCTCTAGGGCTCCACTTGAAACGCTTAGAGGTTGAATAGAGGAATTGAGTTGTGAGACATCATCACCAGGTAAGAATTTTTCGCAATGTAATATAGGGCCCTTAATAGTTAGAATAGAGTTTCAGGGCCCAAAATACCATAACTAGAATAAGGACCCCCCCCCCAAAAAAAAAAAAAAAGTATAGGCAATGATTTAGGCGCCTATATTCCTACCATTCTGGTATCTTTTCTAAAAAACCAAGGTCCCTGAGCCAGGACTTTGTAAAAAGCCTTGTGAAGACGTGTACGGGTTTAGGGTCTATCTGTTCTGTCATACCCTGAGAAGGCCCTACGAATCTCACGGAAGAGTGCGTCACGAGACTGGGGCTCTCAGCTGGCAGCTGGCGAACTACTCCTAAATTACAGGGGTGGGGTTCTCTGTCAGGGACTCTAGAAAGGGTCTCTAAAGGGTCTTCTTAACGCTTCTTTCTTGAAGTCTTAAACTCAAGGCTCCAGACCAAACTATGTAACTAGCAATCAGTAGCATCACTCCTTCTGCATTCCCATAAAGGGCTCGTCAAAACGGTAAAATACAAAAACCGACTGCATGTGACCTCACGACCTAGTTTTAGATTACCAGCAACCTCGCTATCGCTAAATTACCTGGTGCGTTGATATTGGGACTACAAGGACAGGAAGTATGACCAATCACTATTCAAACTTGCAATAGTTAAAACACAGACCCGGGAAAATCCTAAGTGCACCTAAATATAAAGCACCAACCCAAAACCCTGAAGCGTGAACCCGGAGCTGCAAAAAATGCCAGCTCTTCCAATGAATATTAAGCTGGACAACATCCCCTCAAAGTTCGCAGCTATATGTGAAAACATACCCCCAAACCCGAAACCCCCACACCCTAAACCCCCAAACCCATACTAACCCACCACAAGACTCATGAAGATTCCTTTGGAGAAGCCTTATTAGAAACTGTGTCGAATTATTGAAACAATCATAAATCCTTTCACAACTCTACTCTTCTCAACTTGACCCCTGGCAAAACACTGTAACTTCAGCTGTTTCTTAAGGGTTATAAGTTATAAGAACCAAACCTAGAAACTATTTCTAGGTAACCCTAAGTCTTGTAAAAACCCTATTCGAACTATTGGGACACGTGGCCTCCTGCGAGCATGGCTTGCAGCGCGGTGTCAAAGCTCGGACCTGGGCCGGTTCTTCTAAGGGTTCCTCGAGGTGAACTCATATAAAGGTTTTCGGGTTTGTTTTTTTGTAAAGTTAGCTTGACGGCCTTCTGTCTGCCCAAGTCGGCTCGGTTTGGGTTTAGGGTTTAAGCTTTAGAGTTTAAGCTTAGAGACTTGTATTGGGAGTACAAGGACAACCCTGAGACTAAGCCTCCGCGGATCATAAACAGTGCCACTGCCATCTTCAGAGTAACCGCGGGAGCTGTTGAAGCCACTTGGGAGTTTCCAAGATTAGGGGTACCTTATTTTGGGGTCCTTATAAGAAGGATCCTATTATTTGGAGTACTGTTTTAGGGTCCCCCATTATCGGAAACCCCCATTTGGAGAAGCTAGCCTGCCTCCAAGCTCCGCGTATGTCATGCTGTACAGCGAGAAGGAGTGGTGATCAACGCACCGTGTCGATTCCCATGACTGGGTTTGCTCAACTTAACCCTAAACCCTACTTGGAGGATCATGAGAGCTTGCAATTACGGTTTTACGTACCTAAATTTGGGTTATAGGTATGGTTACCTTATTTATAACCCGAGTTTCTGAGTCCCATGGTCCTTTAAGCAAAGCCCTGAACTTTACAACGCGCTCCAAGCCAGCCCGAAATGGCCTGAGCCCACTGTTCCAGGACAGCACCAATTCCTTTGACGCACCTTTGAAGCATTCCGTGCATTTGGCCATGAACCGCACATTCCCACTGATGTCCTCCGAGCATCTGAGCAAGGTGCATGCTGCAGTTACATGAGTAGGGACATAAAGGGATACTACCACCCTTTTAACCCCAACCCTCATTCCGCAACTCTTATAACCCTAAACCATGAACCCTAAACCTTAAACCACTTATAACGCGATTTCTTCAAACCGCGTATTGGCTATTCCGATCTAATTTGGTCCCCTAGGTCGCTGGCACCAAGCAGATCAAGCTTGTAGTTCAGATGGCATTACACTACACGGCGGCCATAATGAAAACACAAACCGTATACGGGTGATCATATGTTGTAGCTGTATGATAGTATGAGGCCTACACGGGGATACTACTTCTCACTATGCCTAACCCCTTATTTTGTGCTACCCGAGCATGTTAAATTAGGGTCTGGGACTTGGGCTTTATGACATAAATGCCACTTCAGTTGCTGAGATCTGGGGCCCTTCTCTGTTTAACCCTAAACCCTAAACCCTACACCCTAAACCCTCTCTGTTTGACTAGGCTTTAAAGTTATCGCGCGACGGACGCTGGACCGTACAGGCGGTCACACTTCACCCTAAGGCTCCATGTACCCATATAGTATATACTTGGGCCTTAAAGTACCTGTATAGGTACCCCTTTAGGGCTTATGCATCTACTATAAAGGTACATGCAGCATTTGGGTCAGAATCCACAACCCCATCGAAAGCTTTTCCTTCTTCGACCAACCGGTCAACTGAACTTCAGTAACCCTAAGGGTCCATGTACCCACATGGTATATATTTCGGCCTTAAAGTCATTCGTCCCAAATAGCTTCTTTGGAGCCAAGGTATATACGATTTGGGTACTTGGACTCTTAGGGTAAGGGCATAAACACTGGAAGGAGCACGGCATACAGCGTCTCGAAGGGCTGTCGCTTGAGGTTCGCACCACTCTCGTCCATGTCCCCACCTGCGAAGAGAATGGCACGGGGACAGCCCTGAACCGTAAACCGAGAATCATGAGACAAGAAACTACAGATGTTGGCTCCCAACGTTGGGTACGCCATGTATCATGATGATCAGATTGAAAGGGGATGAGTGACATGAGAGTTTCAAACAATCCGGGAAGGCCACAGCTACCTTAATCAGCAACTTATGTTCTTACAAGGATCCTGGTGCATCGTGTCTACATTGGGGTCTCTACTTTCCTGATACTGTTGATACTTGCCAATTCCCATGACCAGACCCTATAAGAACCTGAAAGCACATGTAGTAATCTTTCAAAACCTATCACACCTTTAAGCTCAGAAAACACGTGCCCAGAACACTAAACCGCAAAACTCCTTATATAAACCCAGTTGTAGCAAAAAAGAAGGATCCCTTAAAGGAGCCTAAACCCTAAACTCTAAACCCCCCTCAAACTTCGAAACGCAAGAAGAAGCGCCTGCGACTTCGGCAGAGAATCCGAGGCGATTCCCCAGAAGCCTCCCCGGAGCCAGTTTAGAGTTTAGGAAGTAGGGCTTATGTTTTTGGGCTACTTGTTTGTTGAAAGGGTCGAAGGATCTCGCATAATTGTTTCCTGTGCTTTAGGGCCTACAGGGTTTAAGGCGTATGAGGCTCATTGCTGATTGATTTGCCGCGGTTGACGATTTAGGAGTTTGGAGCTGAGTGCAGTCGTCCGTGAGCACTAAATGCCAAGACTGGTCCTATGACCGTCTACTAGCACTCATGCCGAGTATATAGGATCAATGGCTCGAACGTATTCTTGCATTTATGTGCGTGTTCTAGGTTCAAGATATGATCGGGAGCAAAAGCTTTGGACTGCACAGCTTCATGAAGGTAAGCACAAAGCAAAGCTCATCGAACCCCCAAACCCTCAGCCCTAACCCCCAACTCTCGAGCACTCCAGCTGCCATCCGAGCCACTCTACGAGTGCCGAAGCTGTGAACACGACCTCAGCAGACCCCCAACGCGTGCATAAGGGTTTACAGTTCAAGGTGTAGGGTTTCGGGCTTGGTCTTGCAGATTGGGCATCAAAAGTCCCGGTACATGTTACACAATAACCATACACGCAAAATTACGAACTTACTAATCCACATGAGTTACTACCACAAGTCCAAGCACCCCCTTGCATCTTGCTGCACCCCGATACTGTCCCTAAGCTGTAAACTTTTTATAAACGCAAGCCAAAAGTCCGAAACACCTCAATGGCTTTGCGGCTCAAACCCTACCGTAGCCCTGAACCCTATGATATAGTAGGCTATAGCTGGTTAGGTTTTGGCGTAAGCTGTAACCCCTGAGTTGGAAGGTATGCGTCAAGAAATAGCAGGCAATTGCAGCCACAAGTAAATCCTAAAAGCCCAACTCTTGCACCCTGAACCCCTGTAGAAAAGCCTAATTAAAAAGCTACGGCGGCGCTCCCAGATTAGGCGATTAGGTTCCAGGACCTGACTTGAGACAATCAAGGTTTAGAGGGGTAAAGGATTTAAGGAGGGATTCTTTGGTTATCCCAATGGGTCCAAGTGCTTAGGGCTCATGAGGTGCACGGTTGATGTGTGGTTTGGGGATATCCCGGGCCTAGCGGAAAGCAGCAGTTGATGCGGCAACTTAGGACTAGGGGCGTGCGGCTCAGGAAAACGTTGCCTTCACGCAAAAAACCCTCTCACCCCAGACCGCTTAAATGCGAACATTAATCCTTCAGAGCCTGAACCCAAACACTTGCAACGATTTTGTGACGAATGCCTCGGCGGCTGCCTTCCCCCCTCAGGGCGTTCCTGCCTTGTCTCATCCCAGTTTTCACAGAAGCTTCGCGTCACGGCGTGGCTCAGGCGTTTGGGGATCATAATTAAGCTTCAGCTTCTGATCCTTGTTGGGGCTTGGGTCCAGGGTTTAGGGTTTAGGGTTAAGGGGTTTAGGGTTTAGGGTTTTGGGTTTAGGGTTAGGGTTAAGGGAGAATAGGGTTCCAGGGGTTTTGGGTTGCAGGGGTTCAGGCATTCTGGATTTACGGGGGTCTACCTTAGAGTCTTTTAGAGTCGAGAACATCCTTGGGATGTGCTTCATGTCCGTCGTCACAGATAATGTATGTAGGGCCCCAATTCGGTCATGCTTCCAGCCATACCCTGCAACCTAAACTCAAGCTGCTGTAACCACACTCCCAAAAGAACGCATAAGCACAAGGAGCTCACAACTGAGGATTTTTGGCATCCTGCTTGTAGGGTTCCTTATAGACCAAGAAAGGGGTCCTTTAAGGGTTCTATAAGGGATCTATAGTGTCGAGTTCTGAATATGGGGCCTTAAAATTAATCAGAAAAGGGGTTCCCGAACTCCGAAACCGATTGAATAGGGAAGTACTACTACCAGTGTTGTTTTGTTAGTCTGCTGCAGCTGCCGATATGCAATTCTGAGAAATTAAGCGTTGTACCCACGGCGAGTATGCGCCTTGAAGACCAGTATCATCATCCTCGTGATCATAATCCCAGAGACTCCAATATCCCTTAATTAAGGAGTATACCTTAAATTATAGTAGGATCCCTAACATGATTTAAGGAATACTCCTTAATCAAGGGTATTGGAGTCTCTGGGATCATCGTCGTCTTCTTCATCGTCATCGTCGTCATCATAGCAGAAGCGATAGTAGTCGCCGTCGCAGTGGTACGGTTGATGATAGAAATCCTGCATTACCCATAATAAGGAGTATACCATAATTCCGATAGTTTAGGGTCCTTAAGGTAGTGCAGGATTTCTATCATCAACCGTAGTAGCAGTGATGGTGGTGGTGGACCCCAGACCGCAGACTCGAGCGCCTAGGACTTCTTGCGAGGCATCTCTTCTTTAGGAGAGAGGATGAGGGGAACCATTGGGGATATAGACCCTCTCAAGAAGGCCTTTTTTTGAGCCCCAGAAGTAGGGTGAAGAAGGGTCCACTTTGAGGGGTCTCCTTGATACTATCTAAGTAGGGCCCCCAAAAAGCACATAAGCAAAAAATAAGATTGTAATATCTCATATAAACCCCCTTAAAAGGAAGTCCAATAAGGTAGGGATATCCCTAAAAAAAATGCTTCTGTTGTTGTGCATTTGGGGTCCCTAAACCCCAAACCCCTAAACCCCAAACCCCTAAGCCCTAAACCCCCAAACCCTAAACCCCTAGACCCTAAAACCCCTAAACCCTAAAGCCCTAAACCCTACACCCCCGAACCCTAAACCCTAAACCCTATGTGCTTTTTGGGTCTCTACCTAAGAGTCTTGGAAGGTGCGCCTGGCGAAGCTTCGGTTCCCTTTGGTTCGAGAGTAAGCCTCTGCAGTTGCCAGAGACTCCAGCCTTGCTGGTGTGCTGCGAAATGGCCAAGGGTTTATAGGTTTAGGGAATTGCCATATGCTTAGCCATTTGGCTTCACCTTCATTCCTAACTAAAGCTTCCAGCTGATGAAGCAACGAAAATTCAAGCCGAAGCTTGCACCAAAACAGACGACGGCCGGATGCTATGCTGCTCTCCGCAGCTGCACTACAGCCGAAGGCTGAGAAGACAAAACGCGTGTTCAGACACTGCGAGGTATCATAGAGACCACAGCGCGTTGAGACACTGCGAAGAGTAAATGAGTTTCACTCATGTACATAGACATGCGCCCTGACTGGTTGGAAGCAAGGCCGCAAGTCTTACTTACTTGGTAAAGACAGAACCTGACCAACTTGCACCAGTTGCGAATCCTTACCCCGGAAAAGCCAACTGCTTCTCATACCCCAACCCCGAACAGGACCTTGAGCGAAAATGGTCATTCCTTTGTAGAGTCCCTATACACCGCAAATGGGGCTTATATCGGCACGCTGCAAAATATAGGCTCTAAAAGATCGGAACACTGCCTCAACCCTCGCCGTTATTGCTATTCTTTCTGCTCTGACCTGAGTCATCGGTGGAGAACTGAGGTGTGAAGACTAGAACCCACTAGAAACGGTCTCCCTCCTTGGGGTTTCATCACAATCTCGCAAAAAGTGTCTTGCAAGAGTCGATGTGGTTTATGCGGGCTGGCAAGGGTCGGTTCATGCAAGCTTTGCTACAGCGACGGCCCAAGTCCAGGTTGTCGGCCTAAGGTGCAGTGCTCAAAATTCTAACATACGGGCCGTAATAGTTAGAATAGGGCCCCTTACCCTAAACCCTACATGTGACCCCCAAACCCGAAAGGATAGTAGGTTATGACCCCTTAATTAGAGGGTCTGACCCCTAAAACGGTAGGTTTTTGGATCCACAGGTATATTATACTATAACTATGATAAGGAGCCCCTTTACTCCGAATTCTTGGTTTCCGGACCTCCCGATCTTCACTTGGCCGAAGAAGTTCAACCAAGTCAAAGTCAATCTGAGGGCTCTCTTTCCCTTAGGCTCTAAGGACTCATATTGTAAGGCCTTTGGGCCCAAAGACCATACTATGTAAGGCTGTTGGGCTATTTTGAGCCTTAGGGTTTGGCTTTAGGTCAGGCTTGAGGGTCTCAGTGAAATATCTTGAGCCCAAACCCGACACCTCGAAAACTCTGGATGCCACGACCTCAACCTTCGGCAACCCTGGCAAACCCGGTTGAACAATGTTGAACAAGGATACACCCCCCAGGCCCAAATTGATGGTGTGTTTGTCTTTCTCTTTGTTTTGGTCAACAGTTGAAACCATGGGCCCCTAGTATGGGCCCTTAACCCTGGGATCCTTATATACCTACTATATACCCTATATAGACTCTTCAGGGTCCCTAGAACTCCCTCAAAAAGGCCTAAGGTCCAAATTAGGGGCCCATACTTCTAACCTTAGATTTGGTATTACCGTGAGCCTTCCCCATATTCAACCTGCGGCGCATGCTGTGACCAACGCGTGCAAGAGCAAAGCCGAAATGGAAATCGTCATGATCGCCAATCGCTCTGTGTTACAAGACACTTCTGGGTACGTTGCAAGCACGGGTAAGAGTCTAGGGATTCAGTCATTTGCCCGATCCTTCATATTCTAGAGCTACCTTTCGTCTATGACCGCATTGTGGAGCACACAGCACTACCCGTAGCTCCCTTGAACCTCTACTTCGAGCAGTCGCATTCTGTATTAATGCAAATTCTACATATAACGGACGGCATTATACCATCAGAACCCTAAGCCCCAGAGTCCTTCAGCCTTCAACGTGAACCAGACGCCGTCCTGCCCAAATAGCCATCGCTTCCAGTCTTCCAGTCCTGAATAATTACCCTGAAGCAAAGACGTTCTACCGCTGCGACGACTCCGACTACGGTTTTAGGCCTTACGGTTCAGTCAGGGTTTTGGGTTTAGGGTTGAGGATTTAGGGTTGACTCCGAACCTAACTCCGACTACTGCTGGAATTGCCGGCGTCGGTGTGGGCAGCAAGTATGCTGGTAGCCCTGCATATTTGCTTCAGCATCCCAACTTCACGATCCAAGTTTTTGATGCGCGAGGTACGTATGTAATTGAGTATTGAAACGAGAACTTGCCTGGTTAACTGGCGAAACGAGACTCTGCGGAAAGGAGTAGTTACTTCGTTTTATGACAGCCAGGCAGACCATCAACTCCTTCTCCACAAGGAAGGGAGTTTCTTCTGGCTTAGTGGAGGGAGGGAGGGAGGTTTGGGGAGACAGAGAGAGAGAGAGAGAGAGAGAGAGAGAGAGAGAGAGAAAGAAAAAAGAAAGACAGAGAGAGAGAGAGAGAGAGAAAATGTCTGAAGCCTAAACTCAAAGTCCAACCCCAAATCTGCATCTTACCCTAAACCCTAAGCCTGCATCTTGAACCGCCACAGCTCTGCAAAGCTATGGGTTTCAGGGAACAGGCCGTGGATCAAAGGCTTGAGGCTGATGTGGGATTTCAAAGAGTCTAGACCTAAGAGTAACCTAGGAATAAAAAGGGTGCCCTTTTTGGTTGAAAGAGTGTTATAGTACTGTGTAGATCACCCTAACCCCGCCGTGCTGCGCACTCCAGCAGAGCAATCCTCTTCTTGTTAAATGTTGTTAAAGGAGCCCCTCCGGCGACCTTTGGTCAGGAGGAGCTTTGAATAGGGTTGAGAGTGCTGCGTGGAGAACTGCAGCAAGCTCAGTTGCAATCCTGGTCAAAGAGCACCTGATATGGACACCAGATACTCCAGGTGGCGTAGATGACATGCAAGCAGCTGGGTGCCAACAGCACAGGCCTACGAGATGTTGCAACGTGAGGGCTCCAAATCCGGGAACTTTAACTAATTAAACAAGACTCACCCTAATTCAGCTAATATAGGGGCCTTAATATTAGAATAAGGTTTCGGTGCCCAAAAATATACTGTACGAACAATCAGGACCCCCAAAAAGAACTAATATAGATATAGGTACGAGTAACTACTAAGGCCCCTATACTATGTTGATCGCAACCTTCTTCTCTTTGAGCCCTCAGCAGACAAACTCAACATCCACAACCTGACAGCCCCAACTCTGAATCCTAAACCGTAGCTGTTCCCAGTCTACTTGGAGGTTCATGGGACCTAGTAACTACAGCTATAAGTACCTTAACTGGGGCTAGAACTAGTTATTAGTATATTTACCTTTTGTATAACCGTAGTTACTAAGTCCCATGAACCTCTTCGGAGGGTTTAGGATCAACGGTTAGGGCTTAGGTAGGGTTTTAGGCTTTAGCGTGAATCATAAACCGTGGAGGTCGAATACTACGCCTGCTCGACACCCAAGCTGCTCGGATTGTCTCGGTCGCCCGATACATTGGGTACTGCCCCCACCCTGTAATCAAGGATCATAACAAGGGCTATGTATAAGTCAAATTAATATGAATATTCTTCAACTGGCATAGAGTCCCAAAGGGTCCTAGGTACGGTCATGGGGGATACTTCCCCAAATCATAATAGTCATTCCTGAACGAACCCCTGGCGCTCCAAATCGCCCGAAGTAGGTACTATTTGTAGACTTTAGACCCCATAAGTAGGTACCATGTGCATACTTGGAGCCCTTGGGAACGGGTACTTTTGGACCCTTTGGGAGAGTGGGGGACAGACCTAACTGAGACCCTAAACCCTGAACCCTAAGACCTAAACCCTAAACCCCTAAACCCTAAGACCTAAACCCCTAAACCCTGAACCCTAAGACCTAAACCCTAAACCCTAAGACCCTAAACCCTAAGACCTAAACCCCTAAACCCTGAACCCTAAGACCTAAACCCTAAACCCTAAGACCCCTTGTGGGGGTGGGAGGGGCCCTCAGGGTCCGATCCTCGGAGTTTACCAGAACTCCCCAGAGCTCTTACCGTTTGGGGTTTAGGGTTTAGGGTTTTTAGGGGTTTAGGGTTTAGGGGTTTAGGGGTTTAGGGTTTAGGGGTTTAGGGTTTAGGGTTTAAGGGTTTAGGGTTTGGGGTTCTGAATCGTGAGTATTCTGGATATAATAGAGGGTCGTCGGGGGGTCTAGGTAAGGTTAGTGGTTTAGGATTCTGGGGTATATGGTCAGTTCTGGATACGATTAAGTGATCCTACGCTGACCGCTCGGCATATCGGGCTGCGAGTGTCGTGCTAGACCATAGAGGTTTCTGTTTCGGGCCCCTCTTGATTGTTGCTCTTCTCTGGGCCATTGACCGACAAGCAGGCTAGGCCACAGAGAGTAAATTGCCAGTGGCTCTGACATCTGGCAAACATAAAACCAAACTGACAGTGTCTCTGACATCCATCAATGTTGGGATGCACTGCATGCCTTGCAAAGTTCACCCTTCCAGGGCAAGCAGTCTCATCCCCGAAAACTTTGCGCATCACTGCCATGGCAAAGGGCAGGAACAAACTGAGCCAAAGAGGCCGCCAGCTTGCAACGTACCAGGTCCGCAACGAAAGGACCATAACTTCGTGACTAGGAAGAGGTTTCTTGCTTCAAACAGCTATCTCGAGCATTCACTCTATTCGATTTGTAAGAACGATAGCTTGCCTGTATCTAAAAACGGCTTTCCAAAAGCATCAGACTCCCTTCTTGGAAGGGCAGGGGACTTAGTAAGTAGGTTATAAGTAGGGTTATAATTGGGGTAACTCCATTTAGGGTACTTATAACTCTACTTATAACCTACTTACTAAGTCCCCTGCCCTTCCAAATATAGATAGCATATTCAGGAACACTTTGGGCAACATGAACAAACTCTTAACCCTATTTATACTAAGAACGCCGGATTGTTAATCCTTGGCCAGAAACTTGAAACCCTCATCATTGTGATTAAAAACGCAACACTTAACCCTACATCCTAAGCCCCAAAAGCCTTAAAGTACAAGCCAGAAAGTTGGAATATGATTCTCCTAAGCCCTTTATGGTAAGTTATAAGGTATCCTACCCTGAAACCATATTCCAACTTTCTGGAGTTCCCTTTAAATAATCTCTGACTTTACCCCTTTGCGGCTCGGCTTCCGGTTGCGAGAGACCCCGAACTACATCGCCTGATGAAGCCACTTCTTATCGTGTGGCTCTGCTTTAAAGGGAACTCCAGATAGGTTGGAATATGGTTTCAGGGTAGGATACTCTATAACTTACCATAAAGGGTTTAGGATAACCATATTCCAACTTTCTGGCTTTTACTATAGGGTTTTGGCTTTGTGACCAAAAGATTTAGGACACAGCTTCGTAGACATGAAGATTGTACATATATATGTACATGTATATACACATAGAGACTTGAAAGTATCCAGCATCATGAATGAGCTGTCATTTCTCATTCATTATGACTCATTGGCCCATTGACATATCAAATGTTATCTCTTTCCTGCCTTCCGTACCCATCACAAATTTCCAGATTCATCCGCTTCTTAATTATAGATGTTACGTAGACGTGCAGCTCGTGCATGTTATGCCGAAGGGTTCCAGCCGTTTCCATAGTCACTGTGTACTGTAACTCAACGACAGAGGAAAACTAAGACACTACCGTGTGGGTAGTAACCGGGTAGTATGGAGGTTTGACAAGTAATGAACACGAGACAACAAGCACAGCTCCTATACAACACACCCGATAACTGCTTACTTACACAGGCCTTGTGATGAACCTACTTTGAACCTTATAACCCTAAACCCTAAACCTTAGTTAGTTACACCAGGGAAACCCGGCTGAGCTTCGCTGCGGACATGGCGCATGCTATCCGCGCGGTTGCAGAGTGGCAGACATCTGGCTCAGACACGCCCTTGGGCTGCAGCCAAAAGGAACAGCAAGGTTTAGCTACCAAAAACCATTCTGAGTACCCACATTTTACTTAAAGCCCTAGTGACAGGTTGCTGCAGGACACAGCCTTTCCACCCAGTTCTTAGGCTTGGGTTATATATGATATTGATATGGTTAGTAACCTCCTATTTAAGTCACTGCAGCCCTAGGGAAAGCCTTGGCCAAACTGAAACAGGGTTTGTCCCTTATTCAGGCGGCTTTGGAATAAAGGTCCTCTCAGCTCGCTTGCAGTTAAGTCGACATTGGGCCATGCAATGCAGCAATAGCATATTCTGTAATTCCAACTGCGTGAAGGACTAATGTTTGCGTGAATGTACCGGATTAGCAGCAGTAGCGCTTGCAAGCCCATTTGGCCTCCACACTTCCTTTGCTCAAATCCAAGGTGCACATCCTGAGTTCTAGCATAATTCGCCCCTTTTAGGGCCCTCAAACCCGACTGATTAGGAGGTTAAGTATCGAGTGCTTAGCTTAATAAATTGAAACAAGGGTTGCTTATACTATAGTCACATCAAGGAAGCCGAAGGAAGGATACTGCTAATTAATACACGGGCCTTAATCATCAGAATGGGCTTGCAGCATATACACCGGTAGGATTGAAGCTTCGTGGCATTTGCCTATGGGATCATGCGGAGGGCACGGAGTACCCACAGGTGCAGTTTACGTGGCCTGGCTAGCGGAGGAATTAGTCCACCCGTTCCGGATAGCGGACTTCGGTGGAGGAGCTTCAGGGGGAAGGGATTTGCCAGCTGTTCAAGACCAACATACAAGAATACCACCATTATTTTGGTATAACTAGTAGGAGCCGCCAAATTGGTATTGGTAAATTAAATGTTTAGGCCCTTAGAGTAGCTGCTGAGGTCTCGTTGCTAAGCATTCGCTTTTGAGACGACCTCGGCCCGAGGGCCAAGTGCAACCAAGGCTTGTTCTAGGAATCTCGTCCTCGACGCAGACCCAACTTGGAGGGGCAGGGCACTTAGTAAGTAGGTTCTAAGTAGAGTTATAAGTGCCATAAATGGAGTTGCCCCAATTATAACCCTACTTATGACCTACTTACTAAGTCCCCTGCCCTTCCAAGAACGATGTGTGAGCGTCTCAGAACTCAGCAACCCCCATCGAAATCTGGATCTGGCTCACGTCTTCCTGCACCAAAGCTCGAGGGACCGAGGTCTTTAACTAAGGGTTTGCCTAAAGCCTCGCAGCCTTCCCTGTGCTATAATTAATGTACCTATACTTGAAAAATACCAGATCCTAACCATGAAGCTAGGTACCCCAAGAAAGGGGTAGGGCATGAATTTATAGGTGCTTGAAGGATCATGGGTAGGATTATACATAAGAACACCATAGGTGCAATTATATAACCCCAATCAAAGTAGCTATGGACCTACTTAATAGTCCTATGATCCTCTAGGTAAGGTCACTCCTTCGCTGTCTTTGACAGACCTCGACCGGTGATTCGGGGCTTTAGGCATTTATAGGTGTCGGGCTAATCGTTCGGTCGGTAGTTCACGTTTAGGGTGTCTGAAGTTCACAGTAAGGGTTTAGGGGTCTCGGTTTTAGGACTTAGGGCTTAGGGACTTTAGGTATCCAGGGGTTTAGAGACATGCAGAAACTGTACCTTGCTACTCCGGAGTGCATCTGTGATTCATTGATATACTTTACCCGTGCTTTTCCCTCTTCATCCAGCGGACAATCCGCTGACTCTTTGTACGGTGCTAAGGGGTAGGATAACCCCATGCCTACATGCAATATGACATGTGATCAAACGTGGCTCGAATCTTCGCACGTGGAGGGTGCAGGGTCAGGGTGCCAGACTCAACTTCTCATGATCATTGCTGCTGCTACTGCTGCTCAAAAACAACAACAACAACGACAACAACAACAGCACCACCACACCAAGACTCGCCGCCGCGACCGCCACCGCCACCACCACCTCCACCACCTCCACCTAAACCCTAAATCCTAAACTCCTGAATCCTTGTTTTTTGTGCAGGATATCCCTCAAGCAGTTCAATTCCCTCATACAGGAGCCTTACGTTTTCAACACGGCGCCGGGAGTGTGCTCATAAAAAAGTTTCATTAGGATTATCATGTCGCCCCATGAAGAGCCCTAATGAACCTGTGTACAAACTCGTTTTGGTTAGTTGAAGGCTTTAGCATGTGCTTGTTGGGAGTTAGGGTGTAGATTGGCAGGCACCGGGCTTACCTATAGAGTAAATAAGGCAGGTCACGACATGATATGCATTGATGTTTTAATACAATAGCCGGAATTCCATAGGTAGAGATTTGCGCGTTTAGACGACCCAAGCCCCATTGCCCATGGCAAACAAGATCACGACGTCAAGATACAAAAGCTCGGGCTCACGGTTTAAAGTTTCAGGGCCAGGGTTTAGGGCTTAGGGCCTTGGGTTTAGGGTTGTTCCGAACGGTCCAAGTAAGGTGTCAGGCGCCAAAAAGCTTTCAGACGAGGGCTAGGACCTGAAGCCATACAATGTGGGTACTTGGACTCTCTGGGATATGCAACAAAAGCCAATTACATACCTAACTTGACAAACAAGTACATACTCAGAGACCTAGTTAGTTAACCTTGTACAGTGACCTCCAAACACTAGACCTTACAATGCCTTACAGCCTTATCCTCACAACCATAAATCCTCAACACTACAGCACAGCTTTGAAACGCTAGCCGCAATGTGAAGCGCTAAGCCACAGAGACCGCAACTCCATAAAATCGCCGAAGGCCTGCGAGCCAAACCCTTTCGTCGAGGAGCAGCGGGACGAACCAATTGTGTAGAATGTCCTGGTGCAGAGCGTAGGAGTTAACGCCACAGGCGTGGGAACTCTAGTATTATAGCATTGAGTTCGTACATTACGGTACAGTTCGGTATAGTGGTTTGCAATAGAGTCTACCTAGAGTAACCAAGGCATTGTAAAATAAGGAAACGTACCTGCTTGTTTAATGTCGCATCCTTGTTGTTACGGTACATTGGCTACGTACTCTAGGTGAGAAAGCTTAGTATGTGTAGAAGTTAGATTGCAGTATATTATGTTAATACTTCGAGCAGTGTTTCTAGTGTGCTCGTAGTATGCAGGAACGCCGGGGAATAGAATGTATGTTAATCAGAAGCCTACGACCATGAATTCAGGAATCTCGTCGCTGGCCTCACTGCTCCTTCGCCGAGGTGGTGGCGTCGTTGCATCGAGCCTTGGATGGATTTAGGATCTTTGGACTTAGGGTTTAGGGGGTTTGAGATGCTTATCTTAACCCTAAGGCTCAAAATAGCCCCAAAAGCCTGATATAGTATGGTCTTTGGGCCCAAAAGCCTGAAAATATGAGTCCTTAGAGCCCAAGGGTAAGGTTTCAGGATTTACCCTAAACCCTAAACCCTTAACCCTAAACCCTAAACCCTAAACCCTTAACCCTAAACCCTACCTTAAGGTTTCAGGATTTCCGGGTTGGGGGGCGAGGGCTTTGGGAGCCTTGAACTGTCCCCCTAAACCCTACGGGAGTTTCCGAAACTAGGGGTACCTCTAAAGGGATCCTTTAAGGGTTCCTTAAAGGGATCTACAAGGGTTCTATAAAGGGTTTAGGGTTTAGGGTTTGGGAGTTTCCGAAAATAGGGGTACCTTAGTTGGGGGTCCTTGTAG